ATGCAAGGTGCTGCATTTTGAAAAGATAAATCAGGGCAGGATTTATACATTTAGTGGTAAGATCCTGAGAAGTGTTGCTGAACAAAAAGACCTAGAGTACAGGTTCATAGTTCCTGGAGTCAGAGATAGATAGGATAGTGAAGAAGGCGTTTGGTATGCTTGCCTTTATTTGTCAATGCACTGAGTATAGGAGTTGGAAGATAGTGTTGCAGCTGTACAGGACATTTGTTAGGCCACCACTGGAATACTGCATGCAATTCTGGTCTCCCTGCTGTAGGTAGGAAGTTGTGAAACTTGAAAGGGTTCAGATAAGACTTACAATGATGTTGCCAGGATTGAAGGGTTTGAGCTACAAGGAGAGGCTGAATAATCCAGGGGCTATTTTCCCTGGAACGTTGGAGGCTGAGGGGCATGGATGGGGTAAATAGACAATGTCTTTTCCGTGGAGTAGGGGAGTCCAAACCAGAGGGCATAAGTTTAAGGTGAGAAGGGAAAGATTTAAACGGGACTGAAGGGACAACCTTTTCATGCAGAGGGTGGTGTGTGTAAAGAATGAGCTGCCAGGAGTAGTGGAGGAGGCTGATACAATTACAACGTTTAAAAGGCAACAAGGTGCAGGGCTGGATGAACACAGCAGGTCAAGCAGCATCATAGGAGCAGAGAGGCTGACGTTTCGGGCCTTGACCCTTCATCAGAAAATGGGGAGGGGAAGGGGGTTCTGAAATAAATAGGGAGAGAGTGGGAGGCGGATAGAAGAGAGGATAGGTGGAGAGGAAACAAACAGGTCGAAGAGGCGGGGATGGGGCCAGTAAAGATGAGTGAAGGTGGGGAGTTAGGGAGGGGATAGGTCAGTCCAGGGAGGACGGACAGGTCAAGGGGGCCGGATGAGGTTAGTCGGTAGGAGATGGAGGTGTGGCTTGAGGTGGGAGGAGGGGATAGGTGGAAGGAAGAACAGGTTAGGGAGGCAGGGAGGAGCTGGACTGGTTTTGGGATGCGGTAGGGGGAGGGGAGATTTTGAAACTTGTGAAATCCACATTGATACCATTGGGCTGCAGGGTTCCCAAGCGGAATATGAGTTGCTGTTCCTGCAACCTTCGGGTGGCATCGTTGTGGCACTGCAGGAGGCCCAGGATGGACATGTCGTCTGAGGAATGGGAGGGGGAGTTGAAATGGTTCGCGACTGGGAGGTGCAGTTGTTTATTGCGAACCGAGCGTAGGTGTTCTGCAAAGCGGTCCCCAAGCCTCCGCTTGGTTTCCCCAATGTAGAGGAAGCCACACCGGGTACAGCAGATGCAGTATACCACATTGGCAGATGTGCAGGTGAACATCTGCTTGATGTGGAAAGTCTTCTTGGGGCCTGGGATGGGGGTGAGGGAGGAGGTATGGGGGCGAGGGAGGAGGTATGGGGGCAGGTGTAGCACCTCCTGCGGTTGCAGGGAAAAGTGCCGGGTGTGGTGGAGCTGAAGGGGAGTGTATCTGGATGGGTATATGAATAGGAAAGGTTTAGAGGGATACGGGCCAAATGCTGGCACATGGGACTAGATTTATTTCGAATAGGGTTGGCATGGACGAGTTGGACCAAAGGGTCTGTTTCTGTGCTGTATATCTCTATGATAGTTGCCAATCTTAATGCGGATGAGAAATGGTGCCAGGGATACAGCTATGAACATTCCAAACCTGTGACCTGTATCATCTAGAGGGACAAAGGCAGCAGATACATGGGAACACCAGCCCGGCTGTACCCAGTCCAAATGCACTGCAGGGGTTCCAGGTTACAGCTCATCACTACTTTCACAAAGGAGGACAGGGATGTACACTGCGTTGTCTAGTTCCTCTTAAGTTACAGACAACACCAACTGGGTGTCCCACAATACAAAAGCGGTCAAATCAATATGAACACATGCCGGTACCAATACAAAACAGTCCTAACTTTACTAGTCTAAAGTTACAATAATCTCTAATACTAACATACTATCTCTAATCCTATTTGGCTTTTTAAGGTTACGATACTTCCCAAAAGTCTTGTAGATTGACACAGTCACTCTCTCTGGCTTGGAAAAGCTGCTTTCTTCCTCTCTCTCTGGCTGGACTCTGCCTCTTGCCATGCTGTTTTCCTCAGAAGGCATCAGATGAATCCAAGAGCCAGGTCTGCAAGTGAACTCTGTTTTTATACCTTTGAGATGATTTTTCTGCGAGTTCCTACAGTTCTGGCCAATCAGGAAGATACACTTAATAGTTTGAAACAGAGTCAATCATTCAGATTCTAAGTATGAAGCTGGAATGAGCACAGCAGACCAGATAGCAGAGAAGCAGGAAAGTCAATGTTTCAGGCCAAAACACGTTGACTTTCCTACTCCTCTGATGCTGCCTGACCTGTGCTTTTCCAGCCTCACACCCATCGACTCTGGCTTCCAGCATGTGCAGTCCTTATTGTCTCTTAATCATTTGGTTCGCCCACTACTGTTAGTTTCTTTGTGTAGCAGAACCTGGGCCTTTCTCTGGGCCCTCTGTTCAGTGGATAAGTTGTTGGGGATATGTCTGACCAGGATAATTGTTGTCTTTTATATTATACTAATGTCATTAGCACCCGGCTGCTGTGTTTATACTGTCTGGGTTTTGTGATTTCAGTTTTACTTAGCAAATGTACCCAGCATCCCTTGCTGTTGGCCAAGTTAGCAAACTGTGCTTTTCGCAACCAGGAGGCTGCTACAAGTGAATGCTGGCCGAGCTAGCAATGCACATCTGAGAATTAGTTTTAAAAAATTGCAAGTACCTGGTCAAGAATTTGCACAGGGGTGACAGATGCATGAAGGCTGTTGGGCACCAGTGTTGGGAGAGGTGTCTTTGGGCAGCAGCATCAGTGACTGAGCAAATTCCTTTTAGATACTGTCTGCTCACCTCATGAAGCTTGTCAAGGTACCCTAAAAATAGGCTTGCTCACTTCCTTCAGGCAGGTGATTCACGCCCTGCAGGATCATTATCTTTCTGGTTACTGAAAACAAACTTCAAATTTTTTGAGACTTGGAATGTTGGGACACTCAGATAATCTCAAGAGTGAAAGTCTGGAAATAAGAACTGCAGTCATAACGCACGAGCTGTCAAAACCAATGACCACCTTCAGTGAGATCCACATTCCTGGGCAGGGGCAGCTGAAGGAACAAACAGGTACTACATGTTCTCCTGGAAAGGAAAGATTGGCAGCAACATATTACATGGTGTCGATACTGCTATTTAGAATAGGAATTTGGATGCACTGCCTGAGCTCCCCAATCGTATTGAAAGCATGTAACTTTTCACCTTCAGCTCAACCATAAGCATATGCCACCACAATCACCACTTATGCCCTGGCTCTGACAAAGTAGTTAAGGAAAGGTTATAACATGATTGCAGGTCCTAGTAGTGATCCCAAAAGAAAAGACCCTTCTTGAGTAATGGTACCATGTTAAATGTGTTTCAATTCCCTGGCAACTCTCCTGGGAGGATTTGCAAAATATCAGGGCTCCTACAATTTCCTCTTGCCTCCCACAGCAGCTAAGGCTACATCTCATCTGGGCGTGGGGAATTATCTAATTATGAGCCCACGAAAACCATTAGTACCACCTCCCTCTCCGCACTCATCTTTCAAAATAATCACAACTCCCCTCCCCGATTTCTAAACTCACATTGTGACTGTATTCAGTATCAAGAAGAACAAAGTAATTACTTAAAACCTTACCTACATCTTCCAGCTCCACACACATTGCTACGCTGGTCCCTACTGAGCCCTACTCTTTCCCTGGTTATCCTCTTGCCCCTAATATTCTTATAAAATACCTTTGGGTGATCCTTTATTTTACTTGTCAGTGTTTTATCTTGCCCCCTCTTTGCTCTGCTAATTTTTCAGGAAACCCTGCACTTTGTGTACTTCTCTAGGCTTTCAGTATCTACCTTAAGCTTTCCTTTATGCACGCTTTTTCCAGTTCTATACATCCCTTGCTATCCAGGAATCACTGGACTTGTTTACCCCTGATATTCCTTCACCTTTACTGTGTAGCTTTTCCTACAAGTAGCTGCTCCTAGTCCACCTTGGCGAGATCCTTTCATATTAAAATCGGCCTCCCCCAATTCAGAACTTTTATTTCTTTGTCCTTTTGCATGACCACTTTGAATTTTATTGAGTTAATGTTACTATCACTGAAATGCTCCCCACTTACACTTCTACTATTTGCCCGGCTTAACACTCAAAAATTAGGACCAGCACCATCCCTCTCTTGTAGGGCTTTCCTTGCGCTGGCTTAATAAAAAAACTACACTTTTTAAAAAATTCTTCCCCTTCTAAGTTAATGTTGTCCGCCATCTACAAGGCGCAAGTCAGGAGTGTGATGGAATACTCCACATTGCTTGGATGGGAGCAGCTCCAACTACACACGAGAAGCTCAATGAATGAGACCTCGGATTAGAAAGTGCTACAATTCAAATACAATCAGCACCCATGCACTTTATTGGGTAAAGTTCCCTCACATGACCCAACAACCAAAGAATTTTGTTATGAGCCGACGGTTGGTTGATTTCAGAGCATCAGTCCCACTCAATGATTTATAATTTAAAAGGATCTGCTATTTTAGAGAGTTAAATTTAGCTTTCTACTGATGGATGTGAAATTGAATTCTTTGTGGAGGAGAAACGGAACTTTAAAGTAGAGGAGACTCAGTGGGAGTAAAAAACCAGGACTTGTAAAAATCTGGAGAACAAGGTTGGGAAACGGGGATAAGTTTTACAAAAAAAAATGTCCCCCCCAAATCACCACATCTGGTCACCTTAAATCATGGATCCAGTGACTGTTCTGTTTCAGTAGTTGAATGAAAACCCAACTGAGTTGGAGATAGCTTGCTTATTAGTGTTCATGTTGACTAATCCCATGCTTTGTTAAACAAATAAAAGCTCTGTTACATCTGGGAGGCTGCAGAACATTTCAGAGGTTGGTAAGTATTACCTTCTTCAATAACTCCCAAGAATTTACGTTTTGGTCATAATAAAGGAAATCATTTATTTAGCAGGAAAGTCATACTTTGATACAGATTTATAGGCCTGAATTAGGAAAAAAGTAATCTTAATGTCATAAATCAGAGCAGTATTAAAAATACAATATCTTGCAAGTATATCAAAGAATATGACACATAACATGAATGCACAATTATTAGTGGAAACATACTGCTCCTATTTCACAAATATTTTCTCCAAACTAACCATTCAAGTTGTTTGTTTCCCTTTCATTGGAGTCAGGATACAAGCAATAAACTGGAAGCCTAGATCGAGATATCAGCCGCTCAGTTAGGACAGGGACAGAAGGCAGCCTGCTGTTTTATTTCTCTTCCCGAAGGATGCACTTAGCTGACACTTGGTTCCCTTTCCATATGATCTAATTATGGGTACTCGCTGTGTGGGAAACTAAAGTCTCATTACTTCATGAACAGCACAAAAGGAACTTAAAACCATTCAGCTACTCCAAAACCACTGTAAATCAAAGCAAGCTCCAGTTGTAATGTGACAACATTGAAGGCATTTCCAAAAAGTGAGACAGAAACTGATTTGAAAAGTACCATCCCCAGAACAGGTCTTGGTTTCGTCTATAGATCTTGACAGTCAGGCAGAAACAGCAGCTTTGTCTTCAGGCTTCAGAATTGAACAATGCTCAGTCACCTTCACAATAAAGTCAACATTCAGCTCAACCATCTCTGGGATCAGTAATTGATTTCTGCACAAAGTTGAACACTGGCAACAATGTGTTTTTGTCAGAGTTAGAATACTGAAAGACTGACACGTTCCAAGGGAGGACAAAGGTCTTGAGTACAATCAGGGCTTGGTTCAAGAAATGGAATCTCATCATTCTGCATTTCGAAAGCATTTTCACCCGAGGGTACGATGGACTCAAGCTCTGGAATGTCATCTGTGTTTATTACCCTTCCTTCTGATTCAGATATTTTCTCAGATTGAGGGTGTGGTCTCACCAGAAGGCCCTTTTCATCTATTTTATAACTTTTCATAGCATCTTCTCTTCTCAGTCTCTGAATAACAGCTAATTCCTTCAATTCATATGGAAGCTCCATTGAGTAATGCTGACAAAGAAAAAACAAACATGAAAAATCAGGAAAGTTATCCTTGATGTCCTGACCCAATATTTATCCTCTGGCTAACATTAAAAAAACACATTAGATTATCTGCTTATCATCACTTTCCTACTTGTGGGAGTTTGCTGTGTTATCTGGTGGTGTTCCTAATGGTGGGCTTCACCTGATAGACAAATGGGAAATTACAATGCATTAATCCTGAATTCATCAAATTTTCTTTCAGCAATACACCTTACATTTTTGAAACTTATTTTTAAAACATTGAATACCAAAGTTCTATCTGTAAAGTTCAGCAAACGCAGTTGAACAGAAACCATTGGGTTAATTAAAAATACTGCAGATGCTGGAAATCTGTAACAAAAACAGAAAATACCAGAAAGGCTCTGTGGAAGAAAAGTGACAAGTTAAAGTTTTAAGCACAATCCTACACCAGACCTCCAAAATTTGTCACTTTGCTTCCTAGACATTCCGCCTGACTTGCTGAGTACAGTCAGAATGGTTATGTGCCATTAAAAAGAATAAGGACTTTTTTTAATGTCACAAATTAAAACCCTTTTCTCTGTGCTAATGATTAGTCCTGTAATCAAACTCGCATAAGAACTCTCCTTGCACATCCTGTCCAAAAAAAAAAGTTCAATTGCTTAATTCTTTTCTACAGTGCAAATATTCTGGGTGCAAATGCACTTGAAAGTTAATTACATTTATTTTCACTAAAAACGTACAACAAAACTGCTGGAATGTTCTAATTCTAAACTTATCTGAACACTGTTCACTAACCAGCATTTTGACACTCATTACTTTAGTGCACTGGGAGGAAAACACATTAAAAATACGGGTGATAAACATCTCGGTCAATTCAGACAGGTTGATGAGAAAGTGCATGATTTACTTTTCGTTTAACTCTGACCATAAACAAAAACAAACTAATTACTCGTCAAGTACCCACATGGAGCATTTAGCTGTGGGATGCTTGACACAATGGAATTAGAAACAAAGTGGCAAATATTGGAAACCTGAAACTAACAGGTTGATTATCAGTACACCAAGTCACACCTGTAAAAGTCAATCTACCTTACTCTTAAATGCTGATTGGCTTGCTGTGCATTTCAGAGATTTCTATGATGGAGCTACCAGCGATGGTTATCACGTATCAAAAAATGGCAGAAAACTAAGTAATTACTAGTAAATTTAAAGTTTTAAGTTTTGTAAAGCTTGGCTTAAAGCGCATCTAAAAACTTAGTGCATCATTTCTGGCATTTCAGAAATTCTCTAAAGCTGTTGGCATATGTAGGTGGGAACAAAACATTCTTTTAGGCAATTGTTTACAGAGAAGTTAATTTAGGTGTCATATGCTTTTGCTTTGAGACTGTACTGTCATTTTGTTAGAACATATTTTTACATTGTTCAGCAATGTTAGTGGAAAGTCTTGTTTAATCCTTTACTTTGCTTTATTCACTAGCATCAGCTTCAACCAACACTTCCATACCCAGGGGCTAAGTGTGGAAGATGTCACAAAAAAGGCAAAGGTGATGAAAAACTACATCTCTGATAAAATTCAAGATTTCTTCAAGAACCAATGTTGCCAGGAGATGAATTAGGGCGCTTTTTTTTTAAAAAAGCAAGTCTTTACTCATATGATTCAATATTTACTTGGTGTTTTCCAAATAAATGTTTGAAACTTAGAGCTACTATCAGTATCTCTTCCAATTTCTTCATGAATTTTTGATGATTGCGTGCATGACCATGCTGAAGCAAGTGGTCTTGATTCATTTGAAGAGGCTCACTAATTCTCTTTTACACAAGTTGAGTTCAACTGGAATGAGCACAGAACAACTGGTGGCAATTTTCTCAGCGAAGAGAAACTGAAAGGTAATGATGTTTCCAACCATCAATAGCCAACCTGTCAACAACCATATGCCAACTATTTCCACTGGCAAAGGCCTTGGCTGCCTAGAAACCAGAATCAATTGCTTCCAAATGTCTCTCATATTGCTTGGCAACTGTTCCAGTTAAACAAGATAGTAGGAACTGCAGATGCTGGAGAATCGGAGATAACAAGGTGTAGAGCTGGATGAACACAGCAGGCCAAGCAGCATTAGAGGAGCAGGAAAGCTGACGTTTTGGGCCTAGACCCTTCTTCAGAAATGGGGGAGGGAAAGGGGGTTCTAAAATAAATAGGGAGAGGGGGAGAGAGGGGGAGGCGGATAGAAGATGGATAAAGGAGAAGATAGGTGGAGAGGAGACAGACAGGTCAAAGAGGCGGGGGTGGAGCCAGTAAAGACGAGTGTAGGTGGGGAGTTAGGGAAGGGATAGGTCAGTCCAGGGAAGACGGACAGGTCTCCTACCAACTAGCCTCATCCCGCCCCCTTGACTGCTTATGCCGGCACGGTGGCTCAGTGGTTAGCACTGCTGCCTCACAGCACCAGGTGCCTGGGTTTGTTTCCAGCCTCGGGCGACTGTCTGTGTGGAGTTTGCACATTCTCCCAGTGTGTGTGGGTTTTCTCCAGGTGCTCCGGTTTCCTCCCACTGTCCAAAGATGTGCCGGCTAGGTGGATTGGCCATGCTAAATTGCCCGTAGTGTTCATGGATGTGTAGATTAGGGAGGTTATAGGGGGATGGGTCTGGGTGGGTGCTGCAAAGGTCAGTGTGGACTTGTTGGGCCGGAGGGCCTGTTTCCACACTGTACAGATTCTATGATTCTATGAAAAAGTAATGATCACTGGACAACCTGAGCCAGGAGCAAGATGTCAGAGAAATTAGAGAAATGAATGATTGGCTTAAATAATGATTCAAGTGGGTTCCAGTTCATAGGTCACTGCCATCAGCACGAGGATAGTGCATTCTGTATCACTGGGACGGTCTACAATGGAACCATGATGGGGCCAGTGTTCTACCAAGCCTTATAACAAAAGAAGGAGAGTTTGAAGCAAGGAATTAAATTTGAGTAGACATCGTAACTCAACGAATACAGCATGGTAAGACACAAAGGGAACTGATAGAGATCGCAAGAGGAAAAGATAACAGTGTTCAATCTCAAGAGTGAATCAACAAGTAGGACTAGAAACTGGCTCAGGAAGGATTTAAGAGCCCTGGAGTGGGTTCAGAGGTGGTTCACGAGAATGGTCCCAGGAATGGAAAGCTTAACATATGCGGAACGTTTGAGGACTCTGGGGCTATACTCAATACAGTTTAGAAGGATGAGGGGGGATCTAATTGAAACTTACAGAATACTGAATGGCCTGGGCAGAGTGGATGTTGGGAAGATGCTTCCATTGGTAGGAGAGACTAGGACCCGAGGGCACAGCCTTGGAGTAAAGGGAAGAGAGATAAGAAGAAACTTCTTCAGCCAAAGAGTGGTCAATCTATGGAATTCACCGCCACAGAAGGCTGTGGAGGCCAGGTTATTGAGTACATTTAAGACTGAGATAGATAGGTTCTTGATTATCAAGGGGATCAAGGGTTACAGGGAGAAAGCAGGAGAATGGGGTTGAGGAACTTATCAGCCATGACTGAATGGTGGAGCAGACTCAATGGGCCGAATGGTCTAATTTCTGCTCCCATGTCTTATGGTCTTATAGACTACTAAAATAATAAAAAGGATGAAACTCAAGGCTTTGTTTTGAATGTTGAATGCATCATTATATGAAACATATATGATAGGATACATTTGGGCTGTGTGATAGTCATTACAGAGACATTTTGCATCTTGACCGTTTAATACTCAAAGGGGACATGACATTTAATAAGTATAGGAAGCTAGCAATAAGTGGAGAGGGTCGTCTGTTAGTTAATGATAGTATATTAGTGCGGATGACATATGTTCAGGAAACCAGGATGTGGTAACAATTGATACAAGTGAGAAACAATAAAGTCACCTTTGGGAGTGATGTACAGTCCTCCTAAAAATAACTATGCAATAAGTGGGAGTATAAGTGAAGAAATTATTAGAGCTTTTCAGAAAAGGTATAGCAATAACCATGAGGGATTTTAATCTGTAGAGTCTGGAAATAAATCAGATCAGCAAAGGAAATCAAATGTGGAATTCATACAAAGTTTTTGGGACGGTTTCCTCGAGCAGGTTCCAGGAGCAAATTGTACTTGATGTGGGATTGTGCAATTAAGGAAAATTAAACGATGATCTTGTAGTGAAGATGCTTCGAAGGAGCACGAATCATAATATGATTGATTTTTACAATGAGGTTTAGGGAGAGAAGAGTGGGTCCAAAACTGGAAATTTAAGCATAAGGGCAACTATAAGAACATAAAAGTAGAGCTAGTTAAAGAGAACTGGAAACTTAGGTTAAGGGATAGGTCATTAAGGATACAGTGGTAGACACTTAATGGGACAAAGAACACTAAGTTGATACGTTCCAATGAGAAAAAAAAAAAAGTTACAAGGGGAAACAGCTACCATCTATGGTTAACGAAGAAAGTTACAGAGAGGAAGCTAGCTAGATGTACAAAAACAGACAGTTCAAGTTTCTATAGATAATTAAAGTTAAGAAAGTGAGGACTGGTTCTTTAGTAAGGGAGTCTGGGAAACTAATAATAGAAAATAAGGAAGTGGCAGAAGAACTGAACAGGTATTTTGCATCAGTTTTCATTATGGGGTATACAAGTAACATCCTGGAAAGAACTGCAATCAAGAATTGAAAAGGAAAGAAACTCAAAAATTATCAGGGAAGTGTACTGAGCAAATGACTGGAGCCACAAGGTGACCAGTGCCTGGGCTTTGATGAACTTTATCGTAGGGTCTTAAGTGAAGTGATTGGTGAGATAGGTGATGCAGTGGTTTTAATTTTCCAAATACCGAAGATTCGAGCAAGATTTCATTAGATTAAAAAATAGTGAACGTAACTCCTTTATTCAAAAAGGGAGACAAAGCAGCAAACTACAGATCAGTTAGCTTCATATCAGCCATAGAGAAGCTGTTAGAAGCTATTGAAAGAAAAGTTGAAAGTTATCAGGCAGTACAAGCATGGTTATGAGAAGGGAATCATGTTTACCTATCTATGGGATTTCTTTGAAGAATAACATATGCTATGAATTAATGGGGTTTATTTAATTTCGAGAAGATATTGGATAAGGTGTCACATCAAAGGAAAATAAAAGGTCATGATGCAGACATCAACATATTGGTATGAATGGAAGATTGGCTAGCCAACAGGAAACAGTAGGCATAAATGGGTCTTTTTCTGGTTGACCGATATAACAAGTGGTGTCACAACTTGTTGCTGGGACATTTTACAATTTATGTAAAAATGACTTGGCTGAAGAGACTGAAATTGCCAAATTTTCTAATGACACAAAAATAGGTGACAATAATTGAGAGGGGATATAAGCAGGCTACAAAGGGAGATAGACAAGTTAAGGGAGTGGGCAAAGATCTGACAAATGGAGCATGATGTGGGAACATAAGAAATTATTTACTTTCACAGGCAGAATAAAAAGAGGGCAATCAGGATGTCCTAGTGTATGAATTGCTGGGATTCAGGTTCAGGAGCAATTAGGACAGCCAAGAGATTGTTATCATTTATTGTGAGGAAAAGTGAATACAAAAGTATAGAGGTTATGTTTCAGTAATATGGGGTACTGATGAGACAACATGAGGAGTGTACACATCTGTACAGTACTGACCTCATTTAAATAAGCTTGCACATGCAACTTTATGAATATAATTCTTAGGCAGTTTAATGAACTAATACACAGAATGGGTCAGTTGTCTTTTGAAGGAGGTCTGGACAGGTTAGGCTTGTATCTGTTGGAGCTTAGAAGGTGATCTGATTGAAATATGCAATATTTGTCAGGCAGAAGATAGATTCTTCATAAGAAAGGGGGTGAAAGGTTATCAGGGAGGGGGAAAATGTGAAATAATCACATCAGCCACAGCCTTATTGAATGGTGGAGCAAGCTAGAGTGGCTGCATGACCTCTAGCGCCTAATTCATACGTTTGTACGTAACAGCCTGTGTCATGCAGAGACAATGAAAGGAGAACACCTCATCTGAAGGAACCTTAAACTTTCCCCCCCGATTGCCAAGCAGTTCTTACCTCAGCACTTCCCAGGTTAATACAGGGCATATTTCTGTACATGCTCAGGTAGTTGTCCACTTGAGTCGTGAAATCCACCATTAACTTGTCCATCAGGACTGAACGGAGTGAAAGCAGGTACATTACTTCCAATCCTGCTCTCTGCATCAAGCATGTAGGAAGTGGACGGTAGGTCCATACCTTTGGATTATCCTGCACACCAAAGACATACAATGAGAGAAAAGACAAGAAATTAATTATGACAAACATTGACACATTTTCAAAGATTTTTCAAGTTGGAGCCAAAGTGGGGGGAAATAAAATCTTCTCTTCCCCTGAATATCTCCCAGATACTCACCTCTTGCGATCCGTTAACTTCAACTTGTAAATGCATTTACAGTGCGCACCAATTGGAAATGGCTGAGGTTTGTACGCACTCTCAAGTTGGAGGAGTGTGTGTAAAGGAATAGGCTAGATAAGCTAAGTGGGCTAAAATCCATCTCCACGTATCTTTTATTTCTCACTTGCCTGGACTGCTCAAGGTTCTACTCGACTTCTCACAATGACAATGGCTTTTTAGAATTTGGGAGAGAAAAGTTGCCCAACTTCTGAATTGTTCTGGAGTCTTTTTTTCCTGCAGTTAGTTTGGAATCTTCAGGGTATCTACATCCATGAGGTGAGCTTCCTGGTCTTATCGAGGGTATTAAATAAGGACTGGGTATAGTTGTGGAAGAGATAAACAAATGCATGAAAATGCAACTACATCATTTTAAGATAAATTGCAAGATGAGAAAGTACAATTTTCTTTTCATATGTCCAACTTGTGTAATTGGTATCTTGTTTTACATTCATAATTTTCTCACAAATAGAATCTGGTTACCAATTAATTTGCCACTTTGTGTGGTTATGGAGGTTTCAAAACATCAAGGAATTCATCAAAATTAAGCTAATATGCCAAGTAACGGGAGAATAGTTCTTTTTACATCAGTACCAAACAGTTAGAACCGACACTAGTCATTTCTTGCAAGACAACAGTACAGGCCAAAGATCTTTATAGTAGTAAAAGGAGACTTAAATAAATGCATTGTAAATTAGGAGTTTTGATAGACTAAGCAAGGACAGACTCCTTCTGCTGCCAGGTGGGTTAGTAAACAGCATACAGATGTAAAATAGTTGCTGAAAACTATGAATCCCCACTACTCCAAACATTGACATCTGGAAAGCACTGCTTGAAAAGGTAGTTGATTTAATGGTAACTTTCAGAAGGGGATTGAAGAAATAGTTGAGAAGGAAAAATTTGCAGGGCTGTGCGCAAGAAGGCGGTGAATTTGACAGCTTGTTCAAACAGCCAGCACACGGGCATGACCTGAGCAGTTTTAGTCTGAGCTGCAGTCTTGTATGTTTCTAACAATTCATCCTCTGAGCACTGAAACACCAATGATTATATTCAATAGAGACACTTGCATTGTAAACTTTACCCAAGCTGCTAACAAATACCTTGACTGCATGTGCACTGCGCTGCAGAAATTGGGCTTTAGTTGTGGGAAGGGAGAGGTGACGGATCAAGCTTTCTTCCAATGTACTGACGCAGTTCGGAAGAAGGCCTCCTGCTTCAAAGGAGAACTGCAGAACATCTGCAACCTGTAGATAAAATAAAAATCCAGCATGTAGATGGAGAAATTAGAAAAGCATGAGAGAGAAGGAAATCAAGAATTTAGTAACAGAGTTATTTTAGCATGGGAGGAAGACCAAGTGAAGCATAAATGCAACCATGAACTAGTTAGACTGAATAGCCTGTTTGTGCTGTATGTTCTGTATAATTTTACAGAACAGTGTGAAGGCTTGCTTCATGTTTAGGCTGCTTTTCAACAAGCAGGACGTGTACTGAACTCAAAAACCCATCTGCAGGGAGAAAGTGCGAAAAGGCATGATTCCAACATTTCCAAACTAATTGTGATTCACTGTAATGTGCATGGGACGAGAAGAGTAATTTAAATTCCAACATTATACTGGGAGAAATCCCTGACAAGAACCCAGAAAGCATGTACCATAAAGGTGGATGGTCAGCATTCACAGGCTGTGCAAGAACCATTTTCACACAGCAAACTTTATACAATCTTCAGTTCTGTGCGGCACCTGCTCCAATGTGTGTCCTTGCTCCAAACTAGCACTGTTTACCTTTGAGTAGAATTCTCTACAATACCACTTCAAAGCATGTACCTGACCAAAGAAAAATTCTTCCAGAAAAATTCTCTGCTTCCCTTCCAAATCTGAAACAATTATAAGTAAACCATTACAACCACAAGTAATATTATGAACCACACTCCTTCTAGACATTTCTAAATGAGAAAGACAGATTATCTGGACGCTTTAAAAATCAATAAGGGCTGGGACAATCTCAAATATGTCGGCTGCAGCAAGCTTATCCTGCCAGTGATCTAAACAAAGACAGTAGTTACTGGAATCAGTAACTTACTGACTCTAATTCTGAGTAATTGACAGACCACTGACAATTTTAGATTCTCAGATAACTGGTTGGTCCACATTCTGGACTCTGACCCTCACCAGATAGTGTACTAATGTGTTTTATCATAACAATATGCAGGTGTGTCTGGTAGAACTGTGCAGAAAAATGCTTTCCCCATAAATGTAAGATGTTCTGGGAGCAGTACTCAAACCAATGACTTGTGACAGACTCCTGCTTTCAACCTTGTTTTGTTGATGAATAGTATTTGACTGTAGGCTGCTTGTGTGATAGGGACCATCAAGGAAAAATCAACTACTGTCCAGATTGAGTAAGGTTCACGGAGGTTGAAAACATACTTCGACTGAAATGCCCTAACTCCATATTGCCGAGCCTGTGGCACACAATTCCTGTACAGCTGCTGATTTATTCAGCCATCTAACTTCCTCTCTCAATGCTTTTTTTTAAAAAAACCAAATCATGCATTCTGCTCCCCAGCTGTGGCTCTGATCTTCACTCCCTTGCACAGATCCAACTGTACCTGCCACATGATTGGTATAGGCAGCTTTGGCAGGCATGACCATCATTAAACCCCCCCAGGTCTACTAGTCTAAAGCCTATTATACTTTAAGCTCTTGGAAGATCAAAGATAATCTCAGTGCTTCTTCCTCGAGTGCCAGATGCCGCCTCAAACAAAAACCAGAAGCAGCTTAGACTTCATATCTCCATTTGGTTGATTTGTCTCCAATGCTCTCCCCTTTTCTTGCTCATCACTCTTCCTGGTCTTGTCGTCACCTCAGTCTCTAATCCTCATCTCATTCAGTTTCACTCTTAGACTGACTTTTCTGAACTCATCATCTTCTTGATCATCTATTTTCTGCTCCCTTCCTCACTTCTCCAAGCATTCAGAAATGAGCAGAGTCAAGACAAATTCTGGGGCTCAGGTAGCTGCAACACAAATACTTCCCTCAGTTTGTTTTATACATTCAAGGCTGGAAATGACAAACTGTGAAATGCATAGTCAAATTCAACCTGTCGGTTATAAGCATGTAACTTCCTAGCATCTGTTCAAGGTTGAATTATTTAATAAGGTTCAAAGAAAGTCATCTCCAAGATGCTGAATATTTCATAAGATTAAATAATCTAACCCAGAAAATGGCTTGGTTATTTGTTGAAAGGAGTGGAGATGAGCAACTTGCACTTGTACAGCACCAAATAAAGAACATAGTGAAGTCATCAATCGGTGAAAAAAGTAGATACGAATGGGCCATGAGAAACAGGAGCAGGATTAGGCCATTTTCCCATCATTACTGCTTTGCCCTAGTCATATGTGTCTCTAATTGACAACAATTACTAATAGATGAATTACTCATGTAAGTGAGTTTCTCATAAGCCCCTCCTGCATCATGTACTTACTTACTTCCATCCAAATTGATTCGACAGATTAATTTTCCACTCTCATGCCCTATCAATTAAGAACAGAAATTCATCCTGCCCCAATACCTTTTCCATTTCACCCCTGTCTTCTGAAAATGGTATACTGGAATTCTTAGTTCCCAACTTTGATCATTCAGCATATCTCTACAATGGCTACTGGATAAAACCCATTAATTTCTACCTGTGCTAAGAATTTATTTACTTGGTTGCAAGTACTGGGTGTTTTTGGATATGGAGCCTTCAGCCTTAATTTTGATTTTTCCTCTGATGCTACCTTAGTCATTGACTTTGTGTCCCTTCCCAACTCATGATTTTTACTATAAATTCCTGTTCTGAAGTACAGCCATCATTTTTCTTGCTGGTTATGAACTTACCCATGCCTAAATCCTCTTGCCACAACTTCCTGATGTTAAAGAGCTGTTAACAGATTCATCAGGACACTGTTCCCAGTCCAGTTTATCCAATTGTGGGTCTTTTCTTTTATCCCCACAGAACTTTGAACTTTATCCATATACACTAGTCAATGGTTTGCCAGATTCTCCTTTCCTGTATTTGTAGCTTGGAAATAATATGATCCTACAATACATTTCCCCCTTTTAGGATCCTCAATATGTCAAAATCTAGATTCATTGCACTGCCCTCTTACTTTTCTTTTAAACTCAAATCTATTTTCGATTTTCTATTTGCAGCCTTTTTAAACTCAATGTTCATGACAATATGTTACTCCACCAGATTTATTTCATCTCCTCTCTTGTTCTTCCATGTTCAATGTTTGTATTCAGAGGAATCTTAGTATTCTTGTATATGAATTATAAAGTTATGATACAGATAGAGCAAGGAATTATGGAGTCAATTAGTACTAAGAAGGCAAGTAATATATTAGGAAGGCAAATGGAATTTTGGCATTCACTGCTAAGGCGTTAAAGTTTATAAAATAGGGAAGTCTTGTTACAACCGTACAGGGTGTTGGTAAGGCCACTCCAGAAGTACTGTGTACAGTATTGGTCACCATATTTAAGAAATGATATGCTGGCACTCACAGTAAAAGTGTGCTCACCCCACCCCAGATCTATGGCCACCTCTCATTCAACTTGGACATCAACACGGATCCTGAGAGAGCAGGGTTGTAAATTCATTTCAGAGATTTGACCAAGGAAATTAAAAGATATACTGGCATTCCCCAGCCTCCAGCCCAGATCATCCTTTCAATATCCTGATGCTACTGGCTGCCGCCACAATGGGCTTCACCCTCATCATCCACCAATCATTACCATGGTGGAGTGAAGTGTTTGTTGGACTCTTCCCCAACCTACAGCAGAGCCTGGTCTCCAGTTGTGTTGGATTTTCCCTGCTATTGGGTCAAGACTTCGCTCTGCTGGGGCCATACAGTGGTTAGCGTGTAATGACCACCTCATTTTAAAGGAACCCATGCACAGGAATCTTCCAACTTAACCCCACAATCCAGATGAATTTCAGGACCCTTATGGACAATCTCAACAATAACCTGAACACCACACTGCTGTCACTGCCTGAGGATTCCAGCACTTTAACATTGATATCACCACCCAGAGCAAGACATGACTGGCAAAAGTCAGCTTAAAAAACAAGGTGGCATTACACTTTCTTCTGGAAAGGCAAACATGAACACCATCTCTACAAGGTTGAGTCCACTGTAAGAAATGAACCAGCTGGATGTCTCAGTTAATCCCTCTTTGCAGCAAGTTAGTGCCTCATGATCCTGTAGTTCGCTCTGGCCCAGAAGCATGACCATCGTCCTAGACCCTAGATGCAGCAGACGAGACCAAAGAGGCAGTCTACACCAGCCTCAACCAATCAGTCCCAAGAGAGAAGTTGATTTTCCCTTGGCTACTTCAATAGCAGAGTCAGGAGGAACGCAAACCTTTGGAAAAGTTTGGGCAAAGGTGGTGTAGGGAAAGAAACTCCAATGGAGTCCTCCTCCTGACAAAGTGCCTAGAACACATAGCTGCTTGAAGAGTATTCTGTGACCCATTCTATGTTCAAGTCCTGCTTGAGAGATTAATCTAGGCTGACAATTGTAGCATGCAACGAGCAATAGCTGCATCGTCTTTTGGATGAGATGTTATGCTAAAGCACCCTCCACTCTCAAGATATTGGTGAGGTTACTTTTAGCCTGCATACCATTCTGGTCACCCTGCTATAAGAAGAATGTTAAACTAGAAAGGGGGCAGAAATAGTTTACAAGGATGTTGCTGGGACTGAAGGCTGTGTTACAAAGAGAGACTGGGTAGACTGGGACTTTCTTCCCTGGAGCATAGGAGGCTGAGGGGTGACATAATATAGATGTATAAAATCACAAGGGGCATAGATAAGGTGAATAGCAGATGTCTTCTGACAGGGCTGGGGGAGTTCAAAACTAGAGGCATAGTTTTAAGGTGAGCAGCGAAAGATTTAAAAGAGACTGAGGGATCATTGCCCATACCTTGTCAGCCTCCTCGAGCAACAGGACACTGACGGAAAGATCCAACATTGACTCTAATGCCACAGTACAGCCTTTGCATGTCTGAGGAACAATGTGTTTGAAATCTGAGACCTCAAACCCAACACCAAGCTCATGGTCTGCAGAAACAGTTGTGGTCCCCACCTTCTGTATGCATCAAAAACATGGGCTATGGACCATGCACAGCAGCCACCTTAAAATCCCTGGAGAATTACCTCCAGCACGGCCTTCACAAAAATCCTGCAAATCCACATGTAGATAGGTAAACCAATGTGAGCATCTACTCCCAGGTCAATATCCCCAGAATTGAGGAAGTGGTCTCACATGATTAGCTATGATGGGCAGGAGACATTGTTCGCCTGCCTGATAAAAGACATCCTAAACTAGTGCTATTCTCTAAACTCTGAAATGTTAAGTGATCACGAGGTGGGCAAAGAAAATGCTACAAAGGCACACTGAAAGCCTCCCTAAACAACTGCAAGAGAGCCCACCAACACGTGAGAATCACTTGCCCTGGAATGCACAAACTGGGGAAGAAACATCTGCAAAGGCATCAACCACTTTGAGAATCACTGAATGGAGTATGTGGGGCTAAGCCCAAGCATGGAAAGAGCGAGTGTCCTACCCATTAACCTCCTCAAATACCCACCTGCCACACCTGTGGCAGTCCGCAGGGCTGAACTATTCAGAGGAACCCATTCCCCAACAGTGGAAGCAAAACATCCTCCAAAAGGACTACCCAGGAAGAAGACAGACAGACAGACATTGGAGGCAGTTCAAAACAGATTCACAAGCGTGATTCCTGGGATGAAGGGGTTTGACTTATTAAGGGCAGCAAACAGGTTAGGCTGTTATTCATTAGAGTTTAGAAGAATGAGAGGTGATCTTATTGAAACATACAAGATTCTGAGGAGGCTTGACAGGATGGATGTTGAAAAGATGTCTCCACTAAGGAGGGAATCTCAAATGAGGGACCTAATTACAGAATGAGGCACATTTATTTAGAGCTGAGATGTGAAGGTATTTCTTCTCTAAGAGAATAGTGAATGTCTTGAAGAGTGGAGGAGGCCGGATTATTGAAAATATTTAAAAAGGAGACAAATATCTTTTTAAAACATCAGGGAGTTGAAGGCTGAGAGGACAGGGCACAAAACAGGAGTTGCTACCTTAATGATTGCAGGGCAGACTTGAGGGGTCAAATGGCCTACTCCTGGCTCCTGTTTCTTGGGCTCTTAAGTTATGTTTGCTTGTGTTACAAAGGATTGGAATACAAGAGTAAAGGGTTCTTACTACAATCATATAGGACACCAGGATGCTAGATCTTGAGTAAAACAGAGTTTTGGTCTCCTTAACCAAAGAAAAAATACCCCAAAGAGACTGCAACAAAGTTTATAGAATGGTTGCTGAGATGAAGATTTTTTTTCTAACTCATGGGACATGGGCATCGCTAGCTGGCTTGCATTTATTACCCATCCCTAGCTGGCCTTGAGAAGGTGACAGTGAGCTGCCTTCTTGAACCGTTGCAGTCCATGTACTGTAGGTAATCTTAAAACAAACATCAATTGCTGGAAAGGCTCAGCAGGTCCGGCAGCATCTATGGAGAGAGGTCAGAATTAACATTTCGGGTTCAGTGACCCTTCCTCAGAACGACAATGTTGTTAGGGAGGAAATTCCAGGATTCTGACCCAGCCATAGTGAAGGAACAGCGATATATTTTCAAATCAGGATGGTGTCTTTCTAGATGGAAGTGGTTGTGGGTTTGGAAGGTGCTGTCAAAGGATTTTGGCGAATCTCTGCAATGCACCTTGTAAATAGTACACAATGCTGCTACTGAACATCAGTGTGGAGGGTGTGGATGCGGTGCCAGTCAAGCGGGCTGCTTTGTCCTGGATGGTGTCAAGCTTCTTGGATCCAGGCAAGTGGGGAGCATTCTATTAAATTCCTGACTTGTGCCTTGTAGATGGTGGACAGGCTTTGTGGAGTTGGGAAGATGCATCACATGCTGCAGCACTCATAGCCGCTGGCCTGGTCTCGTAGCCACTGTATCTATTTGGCAAGTCCAGTCAAGTTCCTGGTCAATGGTAATCCCCAAGATGTTGATCGTAGGGGATTCAGTGGTGGTAACGTAATTGAATGTCAAGGGGCAGCAGGTAGATTGCATCTCATTGGAAATAGTCTGCCTGACATTTGTCTGGTGTGAAAATTACCAGCCCAAGTCTAAACAATAATGACAATATCCAATGAGGCAACGGAGTACATTAGGCCTATATTTCCTGGAATTTCCAAGAATAAGAGATGGTATGATTGAAATAGATAAAATTCTGAAGAGGAGTCAGAGAAAATGCATCCCTTGTCTGGAAAATCTAGAGGAACCATAGCCTTAGAATAAAGGGTCAAGCATTTAGAACAGAGGTTATGAGAAATCTCTTCATTCAAGAGTTATGCAACTTTGTAATTCTCTATTCCAAACTGCTGTGGATATCAGTTGTTAAGTACATTTAAGACAAAAATTGATACAATTTTTAGATATGGAGTAATTAAGGTCTATAGAGATAGCAAAGGAAGTTGAAGTTTACATAAAAGATCAGTTTTGTTGACCAGCAGGACCAGCCAGAGATTACCAAATAGCCCACTCCAGCATCTATTTCTCATCAGCTTTGGTCCTTCATTCAACTTTCTCAATAACAAAAATAACTCAAAAAAGATTGCGTAGAATTCAGAAGCAAACCAGCCTACAGAGCGATTTACTCAAGATACCGTTATCATTCTTAAACCAATGACAAAGCTCACCCTCACCTGTGTATCAAAGACATTGGTAAGGTCCACTCTGTATTGATGATAGAGGCAATCTGAAACCAAGCGACAGTCATGGATCACCTGAATAATTTACAAAACAAATGTTGGCAAATTAATCCAAAGTCCTGTGGAATGTACAGTGAAACCAACCTGCTGGTAAAGGTGTGCAGCAATTTCGTTCCACTGTGAGCTGAGTAAGACTGTAATGACATTTGGTGGTCTACAAGACAGAATTATGTCATACTGCAAAAAAAATCAAATCAAATCAATTGGACTCCTTTGACAGTATTGTCATTTTTCTTCCCCACCAACAGTTGAAGGCAGTGTGGATATTAAAAAATCTTTTACTTATGAAGGACTTAAAATACAGAAGCTTGTCTCAAGGTTCTTCACAAATGATGCCAGGCCAAATTAGGGTAACCAAAAAGCATGGTCAAATAAGTTGATTTTTTAAAAACAAAAAGCCTTGCAGCAGAAGCAGGGAGTTTCAAAGTGTGAGGCGTTGACAGTCGAAGGTCTTTAGCAATGCTAGGTTATATAAAAGCCAGTTAGAGGAATGGTGATATTGAAGATTGTGTTAGCAATGGACAAAGTTAATGACGTAAAGAAGCCATGGAAGTAATTAAATACAAGGGTGAGAATTTTAAATTGGAGGTGGTGTTGGGAGATTGGAAGCAAATGCTGTAAAAATGGACAGTAGTGATAGGGGAGTGAGAACTAGTATAAGCAACAGAATTTTCAACAGTTTAAAGCATAGAGGTTGAAAAGGAAACATTTGACTAGTTAAGCATCAGCAGCAGCAAGGGTGATGTAGGAACAGTGACAGCAATGTTATGGAAGCAAGGTCAATGGTTAACTGAGGTATACACACCAAGGAGCACTCAGGTTCATCTCCCATGTGCATGAATAGGAGTAAGGATACAATTACAGTATGGTCAGCCAAAGTCAACATGTCCTTACAAAACAGAATTCATTTTGACAAATTTACTCAAGTTATCCGAGGTTGTAACTGGTTGGACAGAGACAAATGAGTACATTGGACATTTTTGTCCCACGGGATGTGGATGTTACCAGCAAGCCTAGCACTTGTTGCCTGCTGCTTACTGCCTTTGAGATGAATGGCTTGCTGGTTGGCACTTAAGAGTCAGCCACATTGCTGTGGATCTGAAGTCACATGCAGGCCAGATTAGGCAAGGACAGCAAATTTCTTTGCTAAAGGACATTAGCAAACCAGATGAATTTACGACAACAACAGACACTACTTTTTCCCATAGTAACCATTACTGGGGTTAGAAAGTTAGTCTTGGAAATATTAATCAATTTGTAACTCCACCAGGTCTCATGGTAGGATTTGAACTATTGCCTTGACCTCTTGATAAATGATCTAAGACAATGTCAAAGTCCTTTGGATTTCCGAGAGACATTTGTTAAAGGGCCACACAAAATTTAATCTTTGAATGGCTCATTTCAGTGCCTTCAAGGTAAAAACATATCATTTACTGCAAAGCTCTACACTGTGGGCGCTTGGGATAGGATTACATCCCTGATTCTCTCAAAGCCATCTCTCAACATGATTAGATTGCTGGCAAGGGAATATGCACAGCAAAATAAATTATAATTGTTTCAGAATGCATAGGTGGCATAGCAGCTAGCACTGCCTCCTCACAGCACCAGGGAACAAGATTCAATTCCAGCCTTGGAGGACTGTCTGTATGGAGTTTAGACATTCTTCCCATGTCTCTATGGGTTTCCTCCGAGTGCTCCAATTTCCTCCCACATTCCAAAGATGTGCAGGCAAGGTAGTTTGGCCACGCTAAACTGCCACAATGTCCAGGGATGTGCAGGCTAGGTATCAGCCATGGGGAATGCGGGGATATGAGGATAAGGTAGTAGGGTTGGGTCTGGATGGAATGCTCTTCAGAGGGTTGGTGTGGACTTGATGGGGAGAATGGTCTGCTTCCACACTGTAGGGATCCGATGAGATCATTTGCCTGCTCCCCAAGATCATAAATGCCATGTGACACGGTAGGGTAAGCAAAATGTATCTCCTGCCAGTGGTGTTACTCTGTAGATGTGGAAACTTACTTTCAATATATTAGAGTCCTCTAAAACCATTTTCAGTCCATTCTTAAATGCCACTGGTCCCAGGAGGAAGATATCAAACAAATAAATTTGATCCTTTGTTGCTATCTAGAAAGCAAAAGTGAATTAAATGAAATGTGGTAGGTGAGAACATGTAAAATCTGTGGCTGAGTAAAGAACTGCGGTGGGGTTCAAAAACAACGACTTCACAAGTAAGGGTTGAAGTTCAAAGTTAAAATAGTTGACAGAGGGTGGCACAGCTTGTTAACAGTTCTCCTGCTTGGTACCAAATACGGTCATCCTCACTAACCCAATTTAATTACTGCCCCATTCTAGCTTTTTGACTCCGAGAAGAGCTTCTGGCAACATTGCTGCTCCATCGTGAACACCACCTACCTTCCACATCAAAAAAATCCCAGATCTCCTTCCTTGTCTTATCATTCACTTGGACCCTCACCCCTGGCCTTGTTTGCTGTGGACTCAATGTAATCTCAAGTTCTCCTGGCTGGCATTCTTGCCTTCTCCCTAAATTTGAGTTAATCTAAAATTTTGCTGTCAACAGCTAGAGAAAGTGCTGTATAGTGTTATCAAGGTAGAAAGACGCCTTGGCCTATCGGCTGTGTTATGCAGTTATCTGCATTTCGGTGAGATCCTGCAGCAGCTTGACCTTTGTGTCTGAAAACAAACACATATGTGCATAACTTTTTTTTTTAAAAAAAAAGTGTGTTAGCTGATAGAGGTTCAGTACTCCTTACTGAACTACCTGCTTTCAATATTCAACACTGGAATATATGCCTTTAGCTTTCGTCCTTCCAGCACTATCTACATGAAATGTTTAGTCGATCTTTCTTCAGACATATATTTGGGAATAACAACCAGTATGGAACTTTATCATATAGCTACTTAATAAAAGTTAAAAGATTACAAACAACAGTCTTCTGGATTTCAACACCAGCTGTCCAAGCACTGACAAGGCTAGAACAGTACCTGTATCAAACACAGCTTTCCAAAGCGGCAGATATCAATACCTTCCACTGCCACTCCAATTGCACTTTGCTTTTTAATGTGGAAGATCTGCAAGAAATCAGACAAAAAGTTGTTAGTCTTTAGAAACTGAAATCCAACTTTGTACTCTCAGCAATACCCATCCCTCCGCAGTCAGGATGCAAGATTCACGTGAAGTTGTGATTTTACATTTTGAAGCTAATAAGTTCATCCACTAGCCTGGAGTGGGAGAGAGACATACAAAAATGTGGCTTAAGACCACTGCAAGACTTCTTCCAAAAGATGGTGAATCTGCAGCTCATGGGCAATGAAGAGAAATGCAGCAGGGTGAATTACCGACCGATTAACCCCACTTGAGTTAGAGAGGAAATGTTTGTTGTGCACTCAGCACTGCTATAATGAGACCAGAATTTACTTGTATAGAAGAGTATTTGTTGAAATAATTCTTCCAAGTCCGTTCTTGCATCTCAATAACAATGTTCAATCCAGATTTCACAAATACCAGATGTGCAAGGTGTAATAATGGAATTGAAACACTCAAAAGTACGTGCGAAAACTCAACCCAGATTGATCAAGTGGCCTGGCAGCTTCCCCTACTGGCAGAATGAGACTCTGCCATTACAGCACATTACAAAAATAATTTCCATTTAAACTGCCTTCTAACATAGTAAAATGACCCAGCACACTTCATAGAAATGTGAAATGACAAACAAGCTTTGACATCAGACCACAGAAGGAGATATTAGGACAGGTGAACCGAGTTTTAGGTGTTGTTTTGAAGTAAAAAATTGAGAGATTTATGATGGGAATTCCAGAGGTTGGTACCTCAGCAGTTAGAGGCACGCCTGCCAAAAGTGGAATGATGAAAGGATGCGCAGAACAGATCAGAATGGGGGAAACTGCACTCACAACAAGAGATAACGAGGCACGAGGCCACAAGGGAATTGAAAACAAGGTTAAAGTTTCTTTAAAATAATTATCTTTCAACTTGGAGTCAATGAGCAGCAAGCACAAAGGTTATGGGTTACAAGACTTGGTCAGACTTAGGACACTGGCAGGAGAATTTTGATGAATTCAAATTTAAGGACAGTGTAATATGGGAGCTGGCCAGGAGACCTTGAGAATAAGTTGAGTCCAGAGATGACAAAACATAAGCAAGCATCCCAGCAGATGAGGAGACAAGGAAAGACATTAGGGATTTTTTTTGGATGTGGAAGATGATAGTCTTCAAGGTGGATCAGAAGTGTTGCAGGAGCTCTTCTCAGGATTACAAAATAAGACACACACAGCAACCAGGAACAGAGATGGTTAACATTTAAGAAGCATTTAGACAAACACGAACAGACAGGGAATAGACGGATATGGATCATAAAGGTAGATGGGATTAGTTTAGAATGGCATCACAGTCAGCATTCATGGTGGTCTGAAGGGCAACATCCTGTGCTGTACTGTTCTATCTTAAGCAATTCACCTTCTTAAAGTTAATCATTTGCTATTAATCTCTTGCTACGTTTTAGCAGTGTCATTAGCCAATGAATTCACAAAGTAACATTGAGGTACAGGTCAGGAACTAGTTGGAAAGTAAGAGAGTCTTAAGGAGAACCATTTATTTTTCAATTGGTGGGATGTGACAGGTGATGCTCTCTGTAAACTGCATTGTGCCTCAGTTTTTGATTGTGTATATGAAGGACTCAGAAGAATGAAAAGAAATACATCCAAGTTTGATGGCACTAACTTTGGGGGCACTGCAAATTGTAAAAGCATTACCAGGAAGCTACAACAACATAGATTGATTAACTAAGTGCTCAAAATTAGAGTGGGTGGAGCTCAATGAGATTTTATACTTTGATTTAGAGTGAAAGAAATCATTTTACCCCTTTTTAATGGTGTCACTGTATACAGATCACTGAAAGATAATGAATAGATATAAAAAGTAATGACAAAGGTGAATGAAATGTTGCTCTTGATTTCAAAGGCGTTGGAATTCAAAGGGGAGGCAGTACTTGTACAGAATTGGTGTCAGATCCCATCTGAATGAGTGCATTCAAAATTTGGTTTCAAAAACTCCATAGTAATACACTAACTAGAATCTGTCCTCCAAGAGGAAGCATTATTAGAAGGATAGAAACCTAAATTAGTAGTTACAGCGGCATGCCCAAGCATTTTTTTGTGCGTCTGTGGGGGAGCACGAGGGGAGGGAACAGAGCACGCACAGGGATGGGGCGGACAAACATATTGGGTGGGGATAACAAGGTGTAGAGCTGGACGAACACAGCAGGCCAAGCAGCATCAGAGGAGCAGGAAGGCTGACGTTTTGGGCCTAGACCCGTCTTCAGAAAACATTGGGTGGGGAGGTCAGGCAGGCATTGGGAAAATGCCTTGATCAAAGGCAAGCGATCATTCTAGCATTGCTGGCCTCTGATCAGCTGGCAGCCCTCTCTGGACTGGATCTCTGCCCTCAGTGGTTGTCACAGGTGAATGCTCACCCTCTGGCTTCATGAATGACTGAGTGGCAATTGGTTGGATGGGCCTTACATGAAGAGTCAGCATGGATCTTCTACCACCTCTCACAATCTTCCAGTAGTTCAGTGAGTTGAAGTTATTATTTCATTCAAAAATCCATTTAGTTGTCGAGTTTTAGACCAAGAGGTTTTTAAAAAAAAAAGGTATTTACAATAAGCAAAATTGGCCAAATAAATAAACTTCCAATTCTTTTCCTTCAGAATGGTAATGACCACGATTTCGAAGGTGCTGTCTAAGGAGCCTTAATGAGTTTCTGTAGTGCATTTGCAGATAGTACACACTGCTGTTACTGACCAAAGGCTAGAGGGTGTGAATGTTGGTAGATGTGGTGCCAGTGGGCCATTTTCTTCTTGCCACTGTCAAGTTGAGTGTTGTGGAGCTGCACTCATCCAGGGGAATGTGAAGCTTTCCAGCACACTCCTGATGTGTTTTGCAAACGGTGGACAGATTTTGCAGTGTCAGGAGAGTTCCTTGCTGCAGAATTCCCAGCTTTTCATGTGTTCTTGCAGTCACTGTATCCATAGGACAAGACAGTTCACATACTGGTCAATGGTAATCCCCAGGATGTTGATAGATGGTTCAGTGACAGTTATCTTATTGAATGTCAAGAGACAATGGCTGGATTTTCTCAGGTTGGAAATGGTCATTGCCTGGCACTTGTGTGGCACCAATGTTACTTGTCATTTGTCAGCCCAAATCTGTATCTTGTCCAAACCTCGTTGCATTGTGACATGGATTGTTTCAGTATCTGAGGAGTTGTGAATGGTGCTGAACATTATGCAATCAACGAACATCCCCAATTCTGACCTTATGATGGAGGGAAGGTCATTAATGAAGCTGCTGAAGATGGCTGGGCCTAGGTCAGTACTCTGAGAAACTCAAGAGGCTCTTGTGGCACTGTGGTAGTGTCCCTATTTCTGAGCCAGGAGACATAGGTTCAAGTCCCACCTGGTCTAGTGGTGTGTAATAACATCTCCGAACAGATTGATTAGAAAATATCTACTGACAAACTGCAGAGTTCTGTTCTGTCTCAGAACAGAAAAGATTTACCTCCAACCACCACAACTATCTTCCTTTGTGCGAGGTATGATTTCAACTGACAACAGTTTTCTGCCTAGCTTCTGCCGGAGTCTAGTTTTGCTAGGGCTCCTTGAAGCCATATTCAGTTAAAAACTGCCTTCATGTCGAGGGTGGTCACTTTCACTCACCTCTAGAATTCAGCTGTTTTTGACAATGTTTGAATAAAAGATGTAATGAGGTCAGGAGCTGAGTGGCTTTGGCACAATCCAAACTGAAAATCAGTGAGTAGGTTATTGCTCACAGTAGATAATCCCTTCAAATACTTTACTGATGATCGAGAGTAGACTAATGGACGATAATTGCCCAGGTTGGACTGGTCTTGCTTTTGTGTCCACAGGATGTACCTTGGTAATGATCCACATTATCGGTTGATGTCAGTGTTGTAGCTGTATTGCAACAACTTGGCCAGAGGTGCAGCAAGTTCTGGAGCACAAGTCTTCAGTACTGTTGGTAGAACGTTGTCAGAGTCCATAGCCTTCATGTAATCCAGTGCCTTCACCTATTGCTTGCTGCCATTTGGAACAATCAGATTGGCTGAAGACCAGCATCTGTGATGCCAGGGAACTCGAGGAGGCCAAGACAGATCATCCACTTGGCACTTCTGGCTGAAGACTGCTGTGAATGCTTCAGCCTCATCTTTTGCACTGATATGATGCCTCCATCATTAAGGATGCGGTTATTTGCAGAGCTGCCTCCTCCACTGACTTGTTTAACTATCCACCACCGTTCATGGTGCAACGCAGCAGGACTGCAGAGATTAGATCTGATGATTGAGTTAAGCGATTCAACTAATCACTTGCTGCTTATGCTGAATGGCATGCATGGATTCCTGTTTTGTACCTCATTTTCAGCTGTCTGGTGCTGCTCCTGGCATGCCCTGCTGCACTCTTCACCGAACCAGGTCTGATTCACTAGCTTAATGGCAATTGTAGAGTAGGGTAGATTCTGGGACACAAGGTTGCATATGGTGTTTGAGTAGTGCCTCATTGAGGCCCAGTCTTGAAGTGCTAGATCTATTCTAAATCTATTCCATTTAGCAGTGGTAGTGCCACAAAATATGATGGACATCATTTCCATATGGCTAATCCTACCAATGAATCTACAGGTGAAACCATGAGGTCAAGTATGTTTTTCCCTCAGCATCTGCTGCAGACCCTGCTGACTTTACCAGCTACTGGTGCCCCAGAGCCACTGTCATCAACAATGAAGGCGCCCACGCTGAGTATGCTCCACGCCCTTGCTCCTCCCTTAAAGTGGTGCTCAACATGGAGGTGCACTGTTACATCAATCAGCAGGTTTTGGGCATGGGCTGTGTTTGGCAGTGCATGTCTGGGGGAGGTGAGCATGTTCTTTGTGTGGTGGGGAGGAATGTGTGGGTGTGTGTGTGCATGTGGGGAGCACTGTGTATGTTGGGGTAATTTTCACATCTGTGGGGAGGGGGGAGGTGCACATGCATACGTTTGAGAGAGGGGGACAGGTGAGCACGTGAGGTGGGGATAGTGTGCGTGTGCAGGTTGGTGTAGGCATGTGCCTAAGGAGGATTTTGCCAAGTTTTCTGCTGCTTCCAGTGTCTAGGTAGAGTACAGGTATTCCATCCAGTTTCCTTCTTTTGAAACTTTTTAATAGTTTGATAGGAGTGAGTGGCTTGCTCAGCCATTGCAGACGCACTTGAGTCAATCCACATTGCTGTAGATATTCCACACATAGGCCAGATGAGGTAAGGATGGCACATTTCCTTCCCGATATGGATGTGAACGAACTAAATGGGTTGTGATGGCAATTGACAATGGTTTCACCGTCATCAACAGACTTAATTCCAGATAACATTTATTCAAATTCCACCATCTGGCATGGTGGCATACAAATACAGATCTCCAGAGTATTCCTCGATCTCTAATCTACAGTTCAGTGACAACATTAGATGCCACCACCTCCCCATGTATCAGCAACCAGCTACAGTCAACTGCCCACCATTTACTTGCCTTTTATTAAAACAAAATTGTAGTATGTCTTCCCCATTTCCCCTTTTCTCAAATATTAGGGTAGGTAAAAGGCATGAGTCTTCCCTTCCAAATGAACATCAGGTGTTTGTCTCATTAGCACATTTAGCCTGGGAAATGATCAGTTGTAGGGAAGCATAACAGATAGAGTCTGCTCAACTTTGTCCATAAGGTATGTACATTTTAGGCTGATATACTGGTGGTAGAATTGTTGAATCATGCTCAGCCATGATATTAGTCAGACAAACAGCCCTCCAGGAATCACCTATTACCAACAGCAATTCAGATATCGTACTAAACATCCTAAAAACAAATTAATACATTAAAGATAAAAAGACACACTGATGCCCTTGGCTAAAAGGGAGAAAATATTGACAATTCAGTGTTCCAGGGCTCAAAAAGAGAAGACAGAAAGCTGTTAAAATAATATGTTGAATTATGCAAGGTTATCTAAGTGGGCAACAAGATGGCAGATAGGGTATTATGTGGAGAGGCATGAGGATATTCATTTTGGTAATTAAGATAGAAAAGCAAAACAATTTTCAAATTAAAATAATTGAATTCAAATTAAGGAAGATTTTATTTACTTTTCTTTAAATTACAAGAACTGAACTTACAAATCTATCTTGATAGTCTACAGGGAACAAAGTTAGCAAAAAGCAAACAATTAGGAAAGCAAAAAGGCATGATGGCCTTTTTTGTAAGGAAATTGGAGCACAACAATAAAGTCGTCTTGCTACCATTGTGCAGGATTTTGATACCCAGGTCTGAGGTTTGTAGAAATGAGAGGTGATCCAATTGAAACAAGGTTTTAAAAGGGGCTTTGCAGGGTTAGTGCAGCAGTTGTTTCCTTTGGCTGGGAATCTAGGATATTGGGGAGCAGGTACTTCATTTAGGAATGAAAAGAAGAGAAAATTCTTCACGCAATTGGTTTTTTGCTCTCACAGAGAATCAACGGAGTTAGGGAGTGTGTGAGAAGTCTACTGAAGCTAAGCAAACTGATGGCTGAGCGGCCTACTTTTTTACTTTTGAAGTATGGACAAAGAGAATCTAAATAAACCTTTCTGCCAGATATACAATTTAAGCACAATGAGTTTATAGATACAAATCAAGGTCAAGGGAATAAAGGAAATAAAAACTGAAATGTAGAACATTTTCTTTTACTAAAAAGAAGTACATTGAACAGATTTTCAACATGGTGCTGCAACAAAAAAAAAGAAAAACCCTTTTGGGTTTCACGAAAGAACTAGACGGTGTCAGGAAATGGAATACTGGGTTATGAGAAATTCTAAAATGAAGACTGTAGATACCCAGGAGAGATGGACTAAGAGTCTTAATCCTGTCTGAAACTGGTCAAATGCTGGGTGTTAACAGCTGATCCCTTATGTTTGCTGAATCAGGTGATCTTAATACAGCAATTGGTCCGGTGGAGGAGAGGAAGGAAAAAAGAAGGCAGAATTGTTGTGACACTTGCTGGGAAGTGTACAGATAGTACTAGGTAAGTGATAGATAGCTTCCCAAATGCCGACATGCAGGGTGAAAATAAATAATGGCTATCTGGATAGAAAGTCAGAAGATGCAAGGATCTTCAGTGGGATTTTTTTCAGGATAAGTGAGTGCTCCAGGGTGTGGGAAAACTTAATTTTAAATTCCTTCAGTTATAGTTTAAAAAGAAAAGGCAGATCACTACTAATTTACACAGAGCTCGTCAGGAAAGCTCAGTACTAATCTCCCTTCCTGTTCCACTAAACAGGCAGTGACTTATTGAAACTCAGTGTACAATCAGTGTTTGGAGGGGAAAGGGCAACGGTACTGTAACTTACAGCAGGACCAAACTTTTGATGAAATTGATCGATGACTGCATATTTCAGACTTTCATCCTCCAACTCTGGAAAAAAAATCAATAGCATTTACAACCATGCAATTGCAAGCATACAATTTATAACCATACATACAAGTTTAGGGGAAAGGGCCGGGGCGGGGGGAATGGAGTTGAAAAGGAGGAAAGGACAGAACAGCATCATCTCAATTGTCATGCATCTTTCAAATGCATTTTTTCTTTCTAGAGGAAAGGCAATTGTTGTGGACATACTGGTCTCAAACATTTATTCTAATGAGTCTAATTTATCAATTTTCCTTTAAAGCACTGAATGAAATTATAGCACTGAGGCTCAAGTAAATGGCAGGTGACTTAGTTCTATATTAGGAGGGGAACCAGGTGGTAGAGAATTCACAGAGCAAACAAAATACCAAAATATAGAGAGTAAACTTCAAATTCTACATGCTCATGACAGATCTTGAATACCTTTCTAAGTTCTGGCTCAAGGGACAGCCAAGTCCTGGAAACAGTTTAGAGCAGAACAAAGGGACAAATTATTAAAGACCTGGAAGGACTTCAAGTGACCTCAAACTTTTCAATATATAAACAGGATAAAAATGATAATGCCATTTCAAATTATAGAGGCAAGAGAAGGACTACAGGAATGGCATAAAGAAATGCACTCTGTATTTGCCTTACAAAAAGTTTGAATTGAATGAATTATTTTAGCTTCATTGCCACAGGGTGATCAATGTAAGCATTGGCTTTCTACCAGAGATGGTAGAATCAGAAATCCCACAATACTTTAAAAGAACAACTGGATGCTTTTATTTGGGAAGTTGGATGGGCACAGGAAGGCAGAAAAATAGAAGAGAAAGACAGGAAAATGTATGGAATTAATTGGTGGGCAATGGACTACATGGCCTTTATCATGTGTATCCAAGGGCAAGGAGAAATGATCTGAAAGCTGGTAGAGGAGTAGAAAATTGTAAAGTGACATTTCCCATTGTACTGATCAGGGCCGAGCCAGAGCCTGGTGCATAACTGTTATTTTCATGCTGATGTTCAGTGTTTGGAAATGCTCCTCCCCTGCTATGGGAACAGAAATCAGAGCAGCCATTCTGGGAAAATATTCTATAAAAACATTTCTAGTCAGAGCCAGTGATTTGCAAGGCTACTGATACCCTGAACCACAGCAACAGCTTGTGAAGCCAAATTCAAGTCCAAGAAAATTTTCACGCACAGAGCTTTAAGTTAGACAAAGACTTGAATGTATCTCTGGGGATGGGAGCACAAATCTACACCCAATGAGGGGAACTCCTTGGGAGTGTGAATTTAGACAGAATTAAAAATCAAATAAGTTTAATAATAAATCTATTGAAAAACAGAATAAATTGGTCAAAGTCAAGTCCACGTGGACTTCAGTCAGGCTTTTGACAAGGTTACGCATGGGAGACTGGTCAAAGAGATAAGAGCCTGTGGGATCCAGGGTAATTTGACAAACTTGCTTTGTGGAGAAGGTACAAAGTGATAACTGAAGGTTGTTTTTGTGACTGGAATTCTGTGTCCAGTGGTGTCTTACAGTGTTTGGTGCTGCGTCTCTTGCTGTTTTTAAGTATACATTCATATCTAGATTGTTAATGTAAGAGGTTTGATCAGTATATGACACGAAAGCTGGGAGTGCTTACTGAAGGATCTAGATGGGCTATAATCCTAAAAAGTATGAAGTTATGCATTTTTTGGAGGACTACCAAGGCAAGGGCATTAAACAATAAACAGTAGGATTGTAGGAAATACAGAAGATCAGAAGCACCTTGGTGTGCATGTCCACAGACGCTTGAAGACAATACAATAGCCAGGTGATTAAGGCAGCATAGGAGATATCTTCCTCACCCCAACTTGTTCAGAGATGTTATTAGACACCTCTGCAACAGGTGGAACTTGAAACCAGCCCTCTTAGCTCAGAGGCAGGGCAGCATCTTTGCACCACAAGAGCCCCTGAAGACATATGGGATACTTCATTAGTCAAGGCAATATATACAAGTGCAGGGAGGTTATGGTGGATAAAAACTGAAAGAACAACTCGGAGGAAGGGTCACAGGACCCGAAATGTTAACTCTGATTTTTTCTTCACAGATGCTACCAGACCTGCTGAGCTTTTCCAACAAATTTGGTTTCTGTTCCTGAGGTTATGGTGGAGCTGGAGTACTGTCTGCAGTTCTGTATCCACACTATGGAAAGGACGTGACTACATGAGAGGGGTAGGGAAGAGATTCACCAGGATATTGCTTGGGCTGGAATGATTCAGCAATGAAGAGAGACTAGATAGGCTGGGGCTGTTTCTTTAGAGCAGATAAGGTTGTGGAAGGACCTAACTGAAATGCACAAAATTATGAGGGGGCATTGATACGGCAGATGGGAAGAGGCTTTACCCTTTAGTAAGGAAGCATGTATTGAAGGTAAATGGGAGGTGGTTGAGAGGGAATTTAAAGAAGAATTTTTTTCATCCAGAGGATGAGAAGTATCTGAACTCAATGCCTGAAATGGTAATAGAGGAAGGAACCATCACAACATTTTAAGATGTGTTAGGCGAAATGCTTGAAACACCATAGCAAACAAGACTACAGGCCAAGTGCTGGAAAGTAGAACTAGAGTAAATAGGTTCTTGATGATCAGCACAGATGTGATGGGTTGAAGGGCTTCTACTATTCTATGACCAGAGATCTTCAATGTCACAAAAAGGCTGTGAGAACGTCTGGCAAATTTGACAATGCTGTAAAAGTTCCTAATTAGGTGAACAGCCATAGTAACAATCAGGTTACCAAGTGCCAAAGAATAGATCAAATCAGCTCATTGGAAGATGACAGTCACATGCGTAGAAGGTGCTGCTTTTATCGATCCATAAACAACATTTATATTCCTCAATCAACTTCACAGACCTTCCCATTATAGAGTACATTTACCCCATCAGGTCTCTTCACCAGTCACCTCACCCAATCCAACTTGCACTGTATTCTTTTAAAATACCTCTTTCAGACAACCAATTCAATTTTAAGGACTTGCTTTTACAGTGATGTATCACAGATTGGCACATTCTAACCATCTAAGTTTGTAACTGATCTTGTAGATCTTCCTCAATTATCTTAATGTGATTCTTTACATTACCATCTCATCAACTGCTAGACATAAATCACGAATCATAATCATCACAATCTTAAGTTCTTATGAGGCTATTCCCTAAACCTAACAGCTCGAATGAGTCCTTCATCTAGAAAATTTATCAAGTTTTTCCCAATCTGACTGATAATTCCAGTTCACCTCAGAATACAAACCATGTTGTACCTTATGTCACTTTTATACCATTCCTTAAACGGTGGTTCCCAAAAAGGTACAGAATAATCTACCTGGGGCCTCAGGTCTTAAAGTTATGTAATCTATATCTCCAGACACAAATTCAAAGATAATCTTTGTTATTTAATGGCTCTGACTTCTTTAATGTGTATCTGCACACCAAAAACCCATTTAAAATGTTTTCATTTCTTAAGCTGTTTTGTTTACTTCCAGAACATGATTTAGTCTCATTGTTCTACACTGAGGTACACCATAAATTTATCTGCCCAACCTGCCACTCAATGCTGGAAAAGTCAAGATTTTTAAAAAAACTGCCACAATTTGCTGTAACCTGATTTGACGTCTTCAGAACTGCATTTGTCTCTTAATTCTCAAGGCCAACAAGTTTAATGCTGTTCATCAATTTCACTTAATGGGTGCCTCCATTCCAAAAGCTACCTGGAAAGTTAATCTGCTCAAGTACCTGAAAAATGCTGCTCTCCAAAATTCTTCCCTGCAGTGGTGTCCTCCAGTTTATCTCTTGAGTCACTTCAAAACAAAAATACAAACAAATAATTATGATTGGCAGTGCTTTCCCCATAATTTTATGTAAACGGTGAGGTATAAATTATACCTGTTCTCTCAGCTTCAAAAGCAGATATGAACTTCTGTACAACACATGCCTGGATAACATGCATAAATTTGTTATAAAACAGTCATTCTTGTAGCACTCTAAGCGTCAGATATCTCAAAATGCTTCAAAAATTGCCAAAATTGCACACAGCAAGCTCGTACAAACAGGACCGTAATAATGACCAAATAATCAGTTTCTTCTTTAAAATGATGTTCATTGAGGTGTAAATATGAACGAGGAATAACTGCCTTCCTGCTACTTGACAGTAGTGTTATGGGATCTTGTGCATCCATTTGCAAGGGCAACCAAGGCCATGGTTTAGCATCTCAGCTGAAAGATGGCATCTCTGACTGTACAACATTCCCATAGTGCTGTACTGAAAATACACTCGAAGCCTGAACCCAGAACCTTGTATGTTAAAAAGTAGAGTCAAAAGTAGCTGAACTTAGTCACAATTCCAAAAGGACAAGCTCACTCTTTGATATGAATGGATTAGCTCAACATTAAGATCTTACGTGAACCACAGACCCTTGAGAAAAACTGGGAGTTGGAGATGCCGTGAACCTCCAGACGGCTGGCTGAACAGCTGTACTGGCATCTACCTGGGAACAGTTTGCCAGTTATTTGGATTGCAACAAAGCAGAAGGCATTTGATAAAGTGACATATGGCTAGAGTGCAAGTTATGAGCTGATGGCTTCAGGGAAGGGGCTAGCTTAATGGCATGGATAGAACGTTAGCTGGCTAACAGGAAGCAGAGACAAGGCAAAAATAGATCTTTTTCAGCTTGGCAAGACGTAATGAATGTGGTAGCAGAGGGATGGGTGCTGGAGCCTCAACTGTTTAGAATTTACACAAATAATATGGATAAAGGGACCAGAGGTATGGTTGCCAAGTTTGCTGATGACTCCAGATAGCAGGAAACTAAGCTGTGAAAACACATAAGGTGGTTACAAAAGATATAAATAAGGTAAGAGTGGGCAAAAACCTGGCAAGTAGAGTGTGAAATGAAAAAGCAGCATATTATCTAAACAAAGATGGATTGCGGAGCTCAGTGATGCACAGGAATCTGTATGTCCTAGTGCATGAATCACCAACAGTTAGAATGCAGATACAGAAGTAATTAGGACTTAGCAAAAATGATAATCTATTGTAAGGGCAACTGAATATAAAGTAAGAGGTCATGCTTCAGCTATACAGGGCACTGAGGAATCCATATGTGGAGTACTGTGCATAGTACTGGTTACCTTATTTAAAGAAGGATGTAAATGCATCAAGAGCAGTTCAGAGATTTAACAAAATACTATCTGGAATGGGCAGGCAGGGCAGGTTTATATTCACTGGCACTTTAGAAGCGAAAGGCGGTTTGAAACATCAAGAAGTCAGGGGTCTTTTAGACAGGGTTGATGGAGAGGGCGTTCCGTCTTATAGGAGAACCAAAAATTTGGGGCTACCCAGTTAAAGCAGAGATAAGGTAAAATATTCTGAGAGTCATGACTCTTTGGAACTCTCTTCCTGAAGTACAGCCTTGAATATTTTTAAGGTAGAGATGGATTTACGTTAAACAAGTGTTGAAAGGTTATCAAGGTACATAAAAATGTGGATTCCAGAATACAAATCAGATCAACTATGATCTTCCAGATGAAAGAACAGGGGTCAAGTAATCTGCTCCTGTACCTTGTCCATATCTTCAAAAAGAAATGTAATAATATCTCATTCAAATTTTGTGTTTGAATTGATTTGCCCTAAAATTGTAGTGATAAAAATAGTCATTGCTCTATAGCCTAAGCCAGTGACTCTCAATTTTGATTGACGGACCCTTTTCAAAGTAACCAGAGGGACTCCTGACTTTCATCTTATTCAAATTTAAGATGATATTCATAACAGAGAAGTGATGCTGCAAGCAAATTGTGCGTAATAATACGTTATGAAAACAGGCACACACTGCGATAACATTAAGTTTAGTGCATCTATCTTTGAAGAGGGGCAGGAATTTCAAGACTGCAGACGAGCACATCGAACACGAGGCTATTCAGTTCTTTATGTCCTTACCACTCAAGAGTTATTCAGTCTAATCTAACCTTCCAGCTCTTGGTCTGTAACTCCGTAGGTTATGGCAACACAAGCGCTTTTCTTTAAAATGCGTTGTAGGTTTCTGCCTCTGATTTTTTCCAGACAGTGAGATCCAAAGATGCAACATACTATGGGTGACAACAGTAGGGACACGCAATAAACAGTGGCCAGCCAGCAATGTCCACGGCCCACGAATGAATAAAAATAATTACTCCTCCACCACCTTCTAATTATATTCTATGTCACCTAGTTATTGACCTCTCAGACTGATGAAATTAGGTCCTTCATTTTAGAGACACTGTACAGCGTGGAAACGGACCCTTTGGTCCATGCCAGATATCCTAAATAAATCTTAAATAAAAACCAAAAGAACTGCGGATACTGTAAATCAGGATCAAAAATGTAGTTGCTGGAAAAGCCCAGCAGGTCTGGCAGCATCTGTGAAGGAAAAAACAGAGTTAAAAGGACTGGACCTGAAACGTTAACTCTATTTTTTCCTTCACAGATGCTGCCAGACCTGCTAAATAAATCTCGTCCCATTTGCCAGCATTTGGCCCAGATCCATCTAAACCCTTCCTATTCACACACCCATCCAGATGCCTTTTAAACGTTGTAATTGCGCACACCTCAACCATTTCCTCTGGCAGCTCATTCCATACACACACCACCCTCTGCGTAAAAAAGTTGCTCCTTAGGTCCCTTTTAAATCTTTCCCCGCTCACCTTAAACCTATGCCCTCTAGTTTTGGACTCTGCCAGCCACTCCAGGAAAAGACCTTGTCTATTTACCCAAATGGGATTTTCCTAATAAAAATTGCTATCATCACAAAGACTACCTTTAGAACTCCAGATATGGGATCTGAAACTGAGCCACCTCTAAATAATCAGAGGAGTGACCCACCATTGTCCCATTCATTTATATTCTAAGCCTTTGATAATACTACATATTTCACAAAAAATTATGGGGAGAGACTGGCACCTGCTAAAGTTGATTCTGAACCGGTTCAGAAGAAGTGTCATATACATGACAGGATCTATTGGATGAATATGTGGCTGAAAAAATACAGTCAGGGGGAAGGTTTCAGATTCCTGGGGCATTGGGACTGGTTCTGGGAGAGGTGGGACCTGTACAAATTGGAAGAGTTACACCTAGGCAGGACTGGGACTGATATCCTAGGGTGAAGTGTTTACTAGAGTGGTTGGGAAGGGTTTAAACTGATATGCCAGGGAGTTGGGAACCTATGTAAGGAGTCAGAGAAGGAGGGAGCAAGGACAAAAACAAAAGGTAGAAAACGGAATAAACAAAGAGATAGGCAGAGAAACCAAGGACAAATTCAAACGGTACTATTGAGAAAAATAAGAGCGAGACAAAGTTAAAAAGACATGCTTAAAGGCTTTATGCATTTATTGCAAATGGTCCATGCATTAAGTGGATGAGCTAATCATGTGGATAGATGTAAACGGGTACGATATAATTGGGATTACTGAGAAATGGCTGCAGGGTGATTAAGAATGGGAACTGAATGTCCCACTGTATTCAGTATTTAGGAGGGACAGGCAAAAAGGAAAAGGTGGAGGAGTGGCATTGCTGGTTAAAAAGGAAATTAACACAATTAGGGCCAATCCATGGCTTACAAAAGATACTAGAGATGGTATCCAATCCAAGGAAGAAGTATACAGATTGGCCAAGAAAAATAATATGTCTGAGGATTGGGAGCAGTTTAGAATTCAACAAAGGACCAAGGGATTGATTAATAAGGGCAAAATACAGTACCAGCAAGCTTAACATCAGTAGTGGGGAAAATTCTAGAATCTGTTATCAAGGACTTTATTGCGGAGCATTTGGAAAGCAGTGACAGGATCAGACAGAGTCAGCATGGATTTATGAAAGGGAAATCATGCTTGACAAATATGTTGGAATTCTATGAAGATTTAACTAGCAGAGTTGACAAGGGGGAGTGAGTCGATGTGGTATATTTGGACTTTCAGAAAGCGTTTGACGAAGTCCTGCATAAGAGATTATTGTCAAAGATTAAAGTGCATGGATTGGGGGAAGTGTATTGAGGTGGATAGAAAACTGGTTGGCACAGAGAAAACAGAGTAGGAATTAATGGGTCCTTTTCAAATTGGCAGGCAGTAACTAGGGGAGTGCCACAGGTTTGGTGCTGGGACCCCAGCTATTCACAATAAATATGAACGATTTGGATGAGGGAACAAAATGCAACATCTCAAAGTTTGCAGATGATACCAAGTCGGGGTGGGAGGGTGAACTGTGATGAAGATGCTGAGATCCATCAGCGTGATCTGGACAGGTTGGGTGAGTGGGCAAATCAATGGCAGATGCAATATAATTTGGATAAATGTGAGGTTATTCACTTGGGAAGCAAAAACAAGGTGGCAGATTATTACCTGAATGGCTGTAAATTGGGAGACGTGAGTGTGCAGTGGGACCTGGGTGTCCTTGTGCACCAGTCGCAGAAGGTAAGTATGCAGGTGCAGCAGGCGGTAAAGAAGGCAAACGGTATGTTGGTCTTCATTGTGCAATGTTTTGAGTTTTCAGCACAGGAACAGGGATGTGTTGTTGCAGTTATCCAGGGCCTTACTGAGGCCATACCTAGAAAATTGTGCGCAATTTTGGTCTCCTTTTAAGGAAGGATGCTCTTGAGACAGTGCAGTGAAGGTTTACCAGGCTGATTCCAGGGATGGCAGGACTTGTGCAGGAGGAGAGATTGACTAGGTTAGATTGTTCTCACTAGAGTTCAGACAAATAATGTGTGTGTGATGCGGGGGGGGGGGGGGGGGGGGGGGGCAAGAACAGAGACAGAGACTTATAAAATTCCAACGGACAAGACAGGGCAGATGCAGGGAGGATGTTGATGGTGGATGTGTCCAGAACCAAGGGTCACAGTCTGAGGATTCGGGGTAGACCATTTAGGACAGAGATGAGGAGACATTTCTTCAACCAAAAAGAGTGGTGAGCCTGTGGAATTCATCACCACAGTAAGTAGTTGATGTCAAAACACAATGTATTCAAGATACATTGATATAGCACTTGAGGCAAATGGGATCAAAGGTTATGGGAAGAAAGCAGGATAAGGCTATTGAGTTGGATGATCAGCCATGATTGTGATGAATGGTGGAGCAGGCTCGAAGGGCCACATGGCCTCCTCCCGCTCCTATCTTCTATGTTTCTATACTCGAGTCAAGACATTAAGTGTTTCTCTTTCCACAGATGCTGCCAGATCTACTGAGTTTCTCCAGCATATTGTGTGATGCTTTAATGGAATACTTCAAAGGAGGAGGAGCTGGTTAGAGAAGAAATTTAGAAAAAATTCCAAAGCTTAGGCACTTGGCATCTATAGGCACACCAATGGTCGAGTGATTAGTGATGATGCTCAAGAGCTCAGAATCAGAGCAGCACAGATACAAGGACTGTGGGACCAGAGACAGTGACAGTGTTTGAGTGGCCAAAGTTAGAGCAATTTGAAAACAAGGATGCAACTTAAAATCAAAACGTTGCTTAACTGAGAGCCACTGTAGGTAAGTGATCACATAAGCAAAAGATATACAAGATTTGGCCTCAGTAACAGTAGCATCTTGGATGATCCTTCAGTAAGGCGTTTGATAAGGCTCCCCAAGGTAGGCTGATGGAGAAAGTGAAGTTGCATGGGGTCCAGGGTGTACTAGCTAGATGGATAGAGAACTGGCTGTGCAACAGGAGACAGTTGTAGTGGAAGGGAGTTTCTCAAAATGGAGAACTGTGACCAGTGGTGTTCCACAGGGATCCGTGTTGGGACCACTGTTGTTTGCGATATACATAAATGATCTGGAGGAAGTTAGATGGTCTGATTAGCAAGTTTGCAGATGACACTAAGATTGGTGGAGTAGCAGATAGTGAAGGGGACTGTCGGAGAATGCAGCAGAATATAGATAGATTGGAGAGTTAGGCGGAGAAATGGCAGATGGAGTTCAATCCAGGCAAATGCAAGGTGATGCATTTTGGAAGATCCAATTCAAGAGCGAACTATACAGTAAATGGAAAAGCCCTGGGGATAATTGATGCACAGAGAGATCTGGGTGTTCAGGTCCATTGTACCCAGAAGGTGGCAACGCAGGTCGATAGAGTGGTCAAGAAGGCATACGGCATGCTTTCATTTATCAGACGGGGTATTGAGTACAAGAGTTGGCAGGTCATGTTACAGTTGTATAAGACTTTGGTTCGACCACATTTGAAATACTGCGTACAGTTCTGGTTGCCACATTACCAAAAGAATGTGGATGCTTTGGAGAGGGTGCAGAGGAGATTCACCAAGATGTTGCCTGGTATGGAGGGCACTAGCTATGAAGAGAGGTTGAGTAGATTAGGATTATTTACATTACAAAGACTGAGGTTGAGGGGGGTACCTGATTGAGGTCTACAAAATCATGAGGTATAGACAGGGTGGACAGCAAGAAGCTTTTTCCCCTAGAGTGGGGGACTCAATTACTAGGTGTCATGATTTCAAGGTGAGAAGGGAAAAGTTTAAGGGAGATATGCGTGGAAAGTTCTTTACGCAGAAGGTGGTGTGTGCCTGGAACGCGTTGACAGCAGAGGTGGTAGAGACGGGCACGATAGTGTCATTTAAGATGTATCTAGACAGATACAGCAATGGGCAGGGAGCAGAGGGATACAGATCCTTGGAAAACAGGCGACAGGTTTAGATAGAGGAACTGGATCGGCGCAGGCTTGGAGGGCCGAAGGGCCCGTTTCTGTGCTGTAATTTTCTTTGTTCTTTAGCTGAAAAGTAGCTGAAAATAATTGCATTAGAACAGTCAAGTCGAGAAATAACGAAGGCACGGATGAGGGCTTCAGCAGCGGATAAACTGATGTAGAAGTGGAGTCAGGCAATGTTATAGAAGTGGAAATGGGCAGACTTAGTGATATTGCAGACGTAAGACTGGAATCTCATGTCAAGAGTCAAAAATGAGATGAAAACTTCAACAGTCTGAGACTCAGACAGTTGCCAGGAGCTAACAAATTCAGAAATATCAAAATCAAAATTTAGCAGCTCCACAGAATGGTTCAGTACACCAGTCTTGTTTTGCTGTGACCAGATTCAAATTCAACTGACACTGAAAGGTCCTTCAGATTCTGAATGAAAGCAAGAGGGGTTGCAGTATCAGAGTTAATCCACTCATTAATGGACAAGAGCTAGCAGTACAAAAACGCTTCCAATTCAATGCTAAATTTCAGTCATTCCAAAGATGGCTTTCGTGGAAAATAATAAAAAAAATTTCTGCATCATTTCAAGGAACAATTCTGAGCGTGGCCAAGGGTCTTTGAGAATAGAAGTCGATCTGGAAAATGAGCACAAGGAATACTTTTCTGCCATCACTGGGTTGCTGAGTAATATTAGGAATGTAAGCTACTCCAAAACGCTTGGATCATGCTGGACTAGACTGGATTTGATCATTGAAGCTTTAAGGTGCAATATTCAATCAGCATAATATAGCACAAAGAATGAAATAACAGCAATGATATGTTTCTAGGTCATTGGAGTTAAAATGAGAAAAGCTGTGCATCATGAGCAAGCTGTCACCTACTTGCTATTTGCTGACTTATTCATGGATCTGGTGGGCAAAGCATCAAGGATTTCCACTGAAACAAACAGGAAATTCACAAATTAAGAAATGGAATCTATGTTACATTACATGCATGCAATTTCAGCAACTTTACCGTAAATAAAATCTATGAGGATCCTTACTACTTCCTGGTTCAATAGTCTTATCCAATAAGTAGCTGAGCCGTATAAACCAGGAAGATTCCATTCCTCGGAATCAAGTTAGGTGAACTCAGCAGATTGCAGTGGGTGGAAATATGCAATTGGTCTCAAGTCTTCAAAAAGCAGCCTAGTTCTCTTCTCCTATTTGGAGATCAGGTACCCATGTATGGATATCAGGTGAAAGCAATGTCTAGCATGGCTGTTATACCCCAGTCAAATAGTTTGCCAAAATACTATGCGCAGGAATGTCATGTGAGTAACAATCACAATATTGAGGGAGGAGATGGCCTAATTCCCCTGACGTTGGCATCAGAGGCCACACAGTGTTACTGGTCTCAAGCTGTCAGGTCTTGCATGCTCCAAACAACAAAACTCTGTTCTAAGTTGTTCAATGTTGTTTAGCATTGAAAATTTTGTTTTAAGATAATTTCCATAAAGTCTGACAGAGGGTTGAATGGTTATTTCAGAACCCTTTGTCTTGTGGAAATTCCTGCTTCTCAACCTTCCCTCTTGTGGCTTTTCCCAGTCACTGCCGACCATGCCACTCCTGTTCCCTGAGCCATCCTCTTGCAACTTCTCACACTTCTGATCCATAGCTCTCCTTCTTTCAGTTGCTGCCAATCCTTCCTCACGTCAAACCTCCCTTCTGCAAGTCAAAGGAGGTCATGTTACTCACTTCGAGGGGAGGTGGGGTGGCATTGGTAGAGGGAAGCAACAAACATGACTTGAGGGAGCACGAGATTCAGCGAGAGTTGGCATATTTCTTTCAGAGAAAGTAAGAACTGCCGATGCTGGAGTCAGAGATAACACAGTGTGGAGCTGGAGGAACACAGCAGGCATGCAGCATCAGAGGAACAGGAAAGCTGATGTTTTGGGACCCTTCTTCAGAAATGGGGGAGGGGTAAGGGGCTCTGAAATAAATAGAGAGGAGGGATGGGGCTGGGGAAGGTAGGTGGGGTAGTGATAGTGAGTGCAGGTAGGTAACGGTGGGGTATGGTCAATGAGGTAGGAGGAGTGGATAGGTGGGAGAGAAGCTTCAAAATCTCCCCACCTGACCTCATCCCACGACCAACCCTCCCTCTCATCCTCGCCTCCTTGAACTGTCCGTCTTCTCTCCCACCTATCCGCTCCTCCCACCTCACTGACCAACCCCCACTATTGCCTACCTGCACTCACTATCACCACCCCGCCTACCTTCCCCAGCCCCACCCCTCCTCACTATTTATTTCAGATCCCCCAACCCCTCCCCCATTTCTGAAGAAGGGTCCTGACCCGAAACACCAGCTTTTCTGTTCCTTTGATGTTGGCATATTTCTTTTATGTTATAACATTTATTTTGTTTCATTCACCAAAATAAGAATTTAACGCACAAGGTATTTTCACTTAAAGGACATTTTAATGTTTTCTGATGAAAAAAGTCCTACAGAATCTAACTGAATCTTTTATATTGGTTATAATGGAATAATCTTATTTGTAATTTCACTTGTCAGAAACCTAACTGCAAGAGAGAATGTATTACGTTGTAAATTGCATGTTTGTCATGTTTAGTATACTGATCGTGCAATTGATCATTCAGACCATTGGTTACTGACTTAGATGAACTTTTAGATGAATACTAAAAAAATGGGAAGGATTAAGAGGAACAGTCAATCAGTTTGTATGTGGTTCACTCGACTGTATCCAGAGGTGAGGGATTGGTCTCAGGAAGGAAGATTGAGCATTTTGGGCTTACACGCTCTGGAGTTCAGAAGAATGAGGGAAAATCTATTTGAGGTATACAAGGTGCCAAAGGCGATTGACAAAGTAGACATTGAAAGGGATGTTCCCTCATGTGCAGCAATCTAGAACGAGGGGTCACAGTTTCAGGATAAGAACCTAAGAAATAAGAGGAGTAAGCCATCTGGCCCATCGACCCTGTTCTGTCATTCAATAAGACCATGGCTGATCTTTTTGTGGACTTAGCTCCACTTACTCGTCCACTCACCATAACCCTCGATTCCTTTACTGTTCAAAATCTATCTTTGCCTTAAAAATATTCAATGAGGTAGCCTCAACTGCTCCACTGGGCAGAGAATTCCACAGATTCACAACCCTTTGGGAGAAGTAGTTCTTCCTCAGCTCAGTCCTAAATCTGCTCCCCCTTATTTTGAGGCTACGCTCCCTAGTTCTAGTTTCACCCGTCAGTGGAAACAACCTCCTTGCTTCTCTCATCTGATCCCTTCATAATTTCATATATGTTTCTATAAGACAACCCCTCATTTTCCTAACTTCCAATGAGTACAGTCTCAGTCTACTCAATCTCTCCACATAAGCCAAGCCTTTCAACTCTGGAATCAACCCAGTGAACCTCTTCTGCACCAGTACATTCTTTCTCAAGTAAGGAAATCACAACTGCACATAGTACTCCAAATGTGGCCTCACCAGCACCCTACACAACTGCAGCATAACCTCCCCGTGTTTCAACTCCATTCCTCTTGCAATGAATATTCCCTTTGCCTTCTTAACTTCCTACTGCACCTGGAAACCAACTTTGAGATTCATGCACAAGAACACCCAGGTCCTTCTGCACAGCAGCATGCTGCAATTTTTTATCATTTAAATAATAGTCCATTTTGCTGCCATTCCTGGATGACCTCACATTTACCAACATTGTACTTCAACTAGACCCTTGCCCATTCACAGCCGAGCTAGGCTTTCAGTGTCCTCTGCACACTTTACCACTCATCTCAGTAGTGTCATCTGCGAACTATGACACACTACCCTTGGTCCCAACTCCAAATAATCTATGTAAGTTGCAAATAATTGAGGTCCCAAAACTGATCCCAAAGTCATACCACTACCCACTGATCGCTGACCAGAAAAATACTCCTTTATCCCCACTCTATAGGTGTTTACACTCAAGGTGCAGCAAATTTAAAACAGAGATGAAGAGGAATTACTTTCAAAGGGTCGTGATCTGTGGAATTCACTACTCCAGAATGCAGTGGACACCAGGACACTGACAAAAAACACATTTTAAAGGATGATATAGACAGATCTTCAATTAGTAATGGGTTGAAGGTTTATGGGTAGTAAGCAGGAATGTGGAGTTGAGGCTGAAATAAAATCAGCCATGATTGTATTACATGGCAGAACGGTCTTGAGGGGCTGAATTATCTACTATGCTCCGAGATCTCATGTCGTTACAGCAAATTGAGAGGCAATGTTACGGCTCACTTGTGTAACACTAATTTTTTTTTGGAAAGAAAAAGAGCACAGCTGTCCAAGTGTTTGGTGCGAGACACCACAATACTTGTTCTCATTCAAAAAGCCCATGAGTAAATTCAGAATGATAACATTTGGTATAACATTAGACATTAAATTGAAAATAAAATTTGACAAATGCAGGAAATAAAACAAGATGTATATGTGTGATCAACTTGCTTTTTGTACACAAACTTGGTCAGAGTTGCTCTAACAACCAGACTATATTGCATGCACAGACTCCCTTGTCGTCAACTGGTTATTAATGCTTAACGACTGTGTTGCTTGTCTTAAGCATCTGCTGTTTCTCACTGCATTTCCAGCCTATCGACCATAAGCAGGGGTAAGAAACAGCCTTTGAATGAATGAGCATTTCTACAGCATCTAAAATTGCACCTAGCTGTTCTTCTATACATCTCGGACAAGACCTGGTAGGCTGCATGTGCAACCTCTGTAGGCAACATTCTGGTCCATCAGCTGCCTGCTATAGAAATAGCAGTGGTCCAAGGCTCACTTTCATCAATTAGGGACCACAGTGTGTCGAAATAACACAGAAACCACATTTTCAAAATTCTTACACCTATGACATGGGAGAGGCAAATGGAATTCAAACTCTGCCCATGTTTCTGTATATAACCTGTGCACACTGAATCCTGCACAGAACTTGGCATCTTGCTGAGAAGTACAGGAGTTGAAGAACGATTTGAAAACCAACTGCACCTACTTTCCAATCAGTTCCTCAAATTCTTGTTGTAGACTTGCGATCAGGGAGGTATTAACATTGTGTCACCCACATCAGAACTGAACACACTTCACCTAAACTTGAGCTCTCAATAAGATTATTTACATGCAAGTGTTTCACTAATGTCTAGCATTTAGTTAGCATGTTATTCTATCCTTATTTCTCAACAGCAAATGTACACATTAACATAAATACATATTTGCAAGCTGCTTTCTCTAATCATTCTACAACCTAAATAGCCAAATAATTTGGCTAGGGTGACTGCAGGTTGATTACCAAGACAATCCAAGTGAGTATATATCCTTAGCTTTTTCAATTCTGCCTGTCCTCTTTAGGGAAAAGAATTCACCTCTATTCTGGAATGGCACTGGATTGGATTATCAGGACATTTCATTTAAAACAGCAAAAACATATTTCAGAGAAAAATGGAGGAATCAATAAAAATACGTACAGTCTCTGATCTCATAACCAAAAAACATTTTGATGCCAGGCAGCTTCCTGTTATTTTCCAAATCTTCAACTGCAGAAAGATAGATAAATAATGTTAGAAACTGATCAATTTCAAACAAGAACAGGAAAAGGCCATTTCATTCCATGAGCCTCAGCTGCTGTTCAATTAGATTCTGGCTGACCTATATTTTATCTCAATTTATCATCTTTGTTTTTTAAACTGTCAATTGCCAAAACCGTATCAACCTGAAGTATTCATTTTATTCGGCTTATCTTCTGAGCCAAGGTTATCTCTAAATATCACATCAATTCCATCTTAATTAACACCTTTCCCTAGTTTTCTATTCTTGACGGTCACAATATTCATAAACGAATCTGGTCATCCTGCAGCTGTGTCACTACAACGGTCATTAGATTACATTTATTCTATTCAATGTGCGCTATTAATTTGTTTACTCTCTTACAAATGCTACGTATCTTCAGATACAGGGCCTTCAGTTTTGCCGAATCCATCTTTGCATCTTGACTGTTTGCATATTCCTGCGTTAATTCTCCTGTCCCTTGACCTTCATTGCTCATATCACTGATTTACTCTCTTTCTTGGACTCTACGCTTTGATTGGCTACATCTACTCCAGCTTAATCCCTCACCCTCATTTTTAGTTTCAAGTCCTCTGCTGCTCCACAATTTCGAGATGATGACATTGGAAGTTACAATTCATATTCTTGGCAACAAAATCCCCACTAACCCCTCCCCTTTCAGTTGCAACTAACTGCCTGTCCTTTTCAGCTGATGTGGCTGCCATGTGGTGTTGCCAAAAATGCTTTTCATGGCAGATGGTATCTCAAGTTGAATTTTTACAATTTGATTGTTAGGTTGTTAAACAGCTATACCCATACAGGGTATTTAGGGTACTGGCTTTTTGTGCAAAGGAACATTTTTTTCCTAAGTGACTGACAGTTTGTTGACATGCCTGTTCTCTTTCGCCATTTAAATAGTGGAGCATCTAGGAAGTTAATGCTTTCCTTGCATATTGCAGTTTTAAATTTAATGGTGGGTTAATTAGTGAGGATATTGATTTATTCTTCTAATTTTCTTTCTGCTCAAGTCCAAATACCACATTTGACAACAGAAATATAGAAATACAGACCATGACTGCATCAGCTCTTAAAATGATTGTGTGAAAATCAATAGTCCCCAAAATTAAAATGAGTTTGAGAAAACCCCAAGAGCTCTTGAAAAATTGTATTCTGACCCAGTAGGATCTTTGCATATATCAGCTATCCGTTGTATATAATACAATTTGCTTGTTATTTCCAAGTTGATTTTGGCTGGAATGTTACAGTAAATATCTTAACAAGTTAAATCTTGACCATTAGTTTTTTTTCTGTTGGGAACATTTGGGAAGTTTGCTTATTTCATGTAATCAAACTTCACGTAGGAAATAGGATAGTCAAATTGCTGTTTGTGTACAGCAACCTTATACAATGGGATGGCGAACAATTTGTTTCCGTAATTGTCACTCAAGGATAATTATTGGTCAAAACACAAAGGTACCTCCTCCAGTCTTCTACAAAGCAGTCATAGAACATAGAACAGTACAGCACAGTACAGGCCCTTCGGCCACGATGTTGTGCCAAACTTTTACCCTAATCCAAATTCTATCTAACCTCCACCCCTACCTTATACTATCATCCATATGCCTATCTAATAGCTGCTTAAATGCCCCTGATGAGGGCGACTCCACTACCCTCTCCGGTATTGCATTCCACACCCCGACCACTCTCTGAGTAAAGAATCTACCTCTGACGTCTCCCCTATATCTACCTCCACTCACTTTAAAACTATGCCCCCTCGTAATAGCTACCTCCACCCTAGGAAAAAATCTCTGGCTGTCCATTCTATCTATACCTCTGATCATTCTGTACACCTCTATCAAGTCATCTCTCATCCTTCATTATTCTAATGAGAAAAACCCTAGCACTCTCAACCTTTCCTCGTAAGACCTTCCCTCCATTCCAGGCAATATCCTGGTAATCTCCTCTGCACCATTTCCAATGCTTCCACATCTTTTCTGTAATGAGGCGCCCAGAACTGGTCACAATACTCCAGATGTGGTCGAACCAGGCTTTCGTATAGCTGACACATAACTTCACGGCTCTTGAACTTGATCCCTCTAGTAATGAAACCTAACACACCATACGCCTTCTTAACAACTCTATCCACCAGGGTGGCAGCTTTCAGGGAACTGTGAACATGAACCCCAAGATCCCCCTGCTCCTCCACACTGCCAAGAATCTTTCCGTTAACCCTCTATTCTGCTTTTAAGTTTGTCCTTCCAAAATGAATCAGCTCACACTTTTCAGGGTTAAATTCCATTTGCCACTTCTCAGCCCAGCTCTGCATCCTATCAATGTACCTTTGTAACCTAGAACAGCCCTCCGCAATGTCCACAATGCGACCCACCTTCACTGTCCGCGAACTTGCTAATACAGCCTTCCACTCCTTCATCCAAATCATTTACAACAATCACAAATAGAAGAGAACCCAGAACAGATCCTTGTGGTACAACACTCATAACTGAGCACCATGTTGAATATTTTCCGTCCACTACCACCCCTTGTCTTTTAAGGGTCAGCCAATTCTGAATCCAGTCTGCCACATATCCCCCTATCCCATGCCTCCTTACCTTCTGCATGAGCCTACCATGGGGAACCTTATCAAACGCCTTACTTAAATCCATGTATACCACATCCACTGCTCTACCTTCATCCACTTGTTTGGTCACCTCTTCAAAGAATTCAACAAGGTTTGTGAGGCATGATCTACCCCTCACAAATCCATGCTGACTATCACGAATCAAACTGTGCCTTTCCAAGTGATCTTAAATCCTATCTCTCAGAGCCCTTTCCAATAATTTGCCGACCACTGATGTAAGACTAACTGGCCTGTAAAGTCAGAACTTATACAATCAAATGACCAGGCAGACATTCCCTCAGATTCACAGCTCCTTCAAAAGATAGCATCCATTCATTAACTACATGCAGGTATTATTGGCTAGGCCAACATTTGTTGCACATTCCTGATTGCCCTGGAGATGATGGTGATGGGGATCTGGAGTGTTAGGGGGACTGTTTGAGATTTAGCCCAGCAACGGCAAAGGAGCAATGACATATTCCCAAGTAAGGATGATATGTGGCTTGGAAGGGAACGTGCAAGTGATGGTATTCCCTTGTCCCATATGTCCTCCTCCTTCTACACAGTAGAATTCACAGGCTTGGAAGGTGCTGCCACAGGAACTTTGGTGAGGTACTGGATTGTATCGTGTAAACGGTACAAACTGATTCCCACTGATCATTGGTGGCGTAGGGAATCAATGTTGAAGGTGGTGAGAATATGTTGATTATTAGAGGCTAATCAATCGTGTTGTTTTATCCTGGATAGTATCAAGCTTTTTGAATACTGCTGGAGCTGCACTCATTCAGGCCAGTGGGAAGTGTTCCATTACACTCCTGACTTGTAGATGGTGGACAGGCGTTGAATGACATTCCACAGAATCCTATCCTCCTGCGTCCGCAACGTTCAACTTCTGCAAAAACGTCAACACAGTTGTACCTTAAACCTCTAGGTGGCTTGATGCTGGATAAAGTCAGCCCTTTCTCTCCCAGCTCTGTCCTACTTGCCATAACCACACCCATTGTGCAAGCACGCGGTTCTCACCTTGATCCAACACGACGGCCTTCGTGGCGGCATCCACATGGCGGAGACAACCTAAGTACGCGCCGCAGTCCAGCGTGATCCGGAGCCGCTTGTTGAGGAGCGCCCGGAGCCAGGCCGAGTCCATGGTGTCGCCACCCAAAAACCAGCAAAGGGGTGAGCGACACCAGTCCGCATCACATGCTCGCGCAAGCGCCGTCCGCAGTTAACTCCACCCCCGCGGTGATTGACACGAGCCGATCGCGCCTCTTGCCTTTTTGAAATGTTCCGACCGTTAGAGGAGAGATATCGCGAGAGGAGACTACGTCCACTCACCCACGGCCACCGCCACGCCCTCTTCCCTCTTCAGACGTCCTTGGCATCCCGCCCCTCCTTTCGCGGAGCCGCACGAGGAACAAAAAGCGGCCTCTCGATTGGTCAACCGCCCTAGTGCCGTCACGCACACTTCGGCTTTTTCCGTCGATCGAGGGCCTGAGAGTCGATGATCGATCCGACCGATGATCCACACTCACCGTCCCTTGAGTTTGTCCCTTTCCCTGACGATCCGGAGCAGATCGGTGTCCGGGCGTGAGATTCCCAACTCCCCCGACAGTGGCTGGCCGCGGGGGCAGCCGGATCCGCGCGGGCGTGGTGGCGTCGCGATCGGCGCTCGGCTGGCCTGGCCTGCGGCCGAAGGGGGGAGGGGTTGGGGTGACAGGCGCTGTCGCGGGGGGGGGGGGGGGGGGTAGAGCCGCAATGGCGGTCGGCGGCGGCGGCGCTCGGAGGGACTCAGGCAGAGCGGCTGCGAAACCGGCCGCCCCGCTCCCTCTGTCAGACATCGCAACCTCTGTCTCTCCAAAGCAAGCGCCATCTTGGCTCGGGGAGAGGAGCGGCGCGGCGAGACAGAAGCAGGAGCGAGTCGAGGTAAGCGGCAGGGAGGGAGAGAGTGAGTGTGTACGGTGGGAGGAGAAGGGGTGGGAGGGTGGGTGTTGGTAGTGGGGGGTGGGGGGGTTGGTGGACAGACAGTGAGTGTGGGAGGAGGCGGACGGGGCGTTTGTACCGTTTCTTTTAATGGGAAATGGCCTCGATCTCTTGACAGGATTTTTTTTTCTCTCCCCTTCGCCTTCAACGTGCGGCGGTATCGGGGCGGAGGGAGGAAATACCCAGGCCGGGCCCATCGACCCTGGCCTTTTTCTCGCTCTCCTCGAGTTTTATTTTTTTTCCACTTCTCTCAACAGCGAGACGGCCTGCTCTCCGCTGTCCCCAAACTCGGGCCTCGCCTCATCCCTCGACCCCGCTGTACCACCGCGAGAGCATCGGGGACACTCTAAGGGCTTATGCAGCCCCCTCTTCGTACTCCTTTACCCCGCAACACCCCCTCCCCCCCAAAAACCTCCGCGCAGCCTGTTCCTCCTTCATGCTTTCGGGCCTTGCCGGCCTTTCAAACTTTAATCCCTCGCTGCCTTCATCCTTCAAGATTGCCCTTATGGTTAAAATCCATAAGGTACTAACAACCCGCTCTCAACTTTTCCCCCCTCTTTTTCTCCTTGCTTGCCCCGTTGACTTTGTAAAGGGCGTTTTATGAGGTGGGGGTGCGAACTATGGGGAATTTAAATTTTAAGTTTTTCTTGTTTTCTCGGTGAGTGTTTGGATGTTAGAACAAACGCTGACTTTTCAGAGGATCTGGTTGTCTTAAAAATGATATCACAATTCATTCGCAATGTGTTTAACGCGAAATTTCAACCTGTTCGTGGTGACTGTGACAACCAATATTTTGTGGGATTTTTAAACCAAAATAGTCATTTTCACGTGTTGCTTTCCCTCACCTTTTAAATTTATTTTCTTGATTATTGGAATTCAAATGGTTCAAAAAGTAAGTTGTAACCAGTTATTAACACTTACTGATTAATTATGGGGCAATACTTTTTTTTGTGATCAACACCAAGGACAGTGCCTGAAAATAACTGAATCCAAAAATGTTGAATTAGACAAGTCACATAAGATAAGTCTAAAAATGTTGCCCCCAGGGGATGTGTTAAATGGTTTTAAATTAATATTTTATTGAACAAAATCTGACAGGAGAATGTGAGATCTTTCAAGAAAATTGATTCATTTTTAAGATTTGGTGACATAACCAACCTACTCAATGAACAAAATGTTGTCACTCGTGAAATGAATACACCAAAACTGACCCTCTAAGTTACAAATGGAAATGAAGGTGTATCTACCTAGTCCCTTCAATCTTAATTTCTCTTCCCTTGATGAAGCTGACTCATGCCAGGATGCAGTTTGACTTGTATTCTACTGGTTGTCTTTTGGTGTCAGTGGGTGTTGCCTGTCTATACTCAACATCCACGTGCTATTCTGCAGGCGATCCAGTAAGAGGCCCAGTTGCCTAAATCTGAGATCAGATAACCAAAGGATTCTGGAGTTAGTAACCCTGTGGTTTACGGAGTCATCTGCTCATAGTTACATGGATCTTGATTCATTTCCCACTCAAGCCCCTACACTCTGTGATTTATCCAGTGCTAAAAACCCTTTATTTGGTCTTGTCTGATAAAGGAAATAATCCTGTCTTCCCAACCATTACGTTATGTAGTCATATGGGGGATATTTTTATATCAACCTGTTCACATGTCTTAGGCAGGTGGGCTTTAACCCAGGCTTTCTGGCCCAGAGTTAAGAACATTACCGTTGCACCACAACAGCCTTTGTAGTCATAAACTACAAGTTACCATTAGTTCTGTTGTGGGAGATCCTTTTGAGGCTAGGTGAAGTATATTCGAGTCTAAGATAGACAAATTTCTAATCACTAAAGGAGTCAAGGGTCATAGGGAAAATGGCAGGAAATTAGAGTTGAAGGATATCAGATCAGGCATCAGCTCGTTGAATGGTGGAGCAGACCTGCTGGGTTGAATAGTGTAGTTGTGCTTGTACGTTTAAACTAGATTGTGATCTAACAGAACTGATGTCTCCTTTATGTAATGCATTGCTTTATAAGCAAAGCATTTGATTTAAGCTGATCATTTTGGGTTATTTCCATTGTGCATGTTTTATACGTTCAGTTGTCTGGTGTAGTCATGAAACATTTATTTCTGAGGAAATGTCCTATGTAATCTTCAAAGCCTTCATACAGGGACTTGAGTATAAGGTCAATTTGCTATTGTTTGAAAATAAAATTTCTGCACCATATCTGAATTTAGTTGAACAGATAATTAACATTTGGCTATTGAGTATTTACCAAAAAAAGTGAAGGTGATAGAATTTTATTGTTAGTTTGTAGGATTTGGGCATTGCTGATTAGGCCATTGTTTGTGTGCTATTCCTCATAGCATTTGAGAATGTGATGCTGAGTTGCCTTCTTGAACCACTGCAGTCCATGTGGTGTAGGGAACCAACAGTTCTATGGTTTTGATCCAGCAACTGTGAAGGAATGATGTATTTCTAGGTCAGGGTGGTGTGTGTGGTTGGGAGGGGAATATGCAGGTGATTGTATTCCTTTCCACTTGCTATCTTTGTCCTTGTAGGTGATAGTGGTTGTGGATTTAAAAGGTGCTGTCAGAGGATCATGGGTCACTTACTACAGTGCATCTTGTAGATAAACCCAGCAGCTGTGTGCTGGTGGATGGATTAAATGTTTAGGTGGATGTGGTGTTAATTGAGCAGCTTGCTTTGTCCTGAATGGTGTCAGGCATCTTGAGTGTTGTTGGAGAGGTACTTATCCAGGCAAATGGAATGTGTTTCATGATTTGTGCACCTGACTTGTGCCTTGCGGATGGTGGAGAGGGCTTTGGCCAGTCAGGAGGTGAGTGATTTGCAGAATTCCTAGCCTTTGACCCACAATAGTAGCCGCAGTATTTGTATGATTGGTCCAGAACAGTTTCTAGTTAACGGTATCCTGCTGGATGTTAATATCGAAGGATTCAGTGATGGTAATGTCATGTAATATCTTGGGACAATGGTTGGGAGATCGTAATTGCCTGGCACTTGTGTACAAATGTCTCTTGGCACTTAATGCAATCCTGGATGTTGTCCAAGACTTAGTGCATATGCACACGTATTGCTTCAGTATTTGAGGAGTGGTGATGGTTCTGAACATTGTGCAATCATCACTAAATGTGCCCAGTTTGGTCTCTGTGATGAAGGCCATTAATAATAGTTGGGCTGAGATCACTATCCCAAGTAACACCTGCAGAGGTTCCCTTGGGCTGAGATGATTGACTTCCAACAATCACAACCACCATCCTTTGTGCCAGGTATGATTCCATCCACCCAAGAGAATACCCCTGGTTCCCATTAACTTCCATTTTATCAGTGGTTCTTGAATTCATGTTCTCTTAAATGTGACCTTCATGTCAAGGGCAAGGTCTTTTTAGCTCACCTTTGGAATTCAACTCTCTTGTCCATTTTTGGACCAAGGCTTGTGATGAAGTTCGAAGTGGACAAGTAGAGGCTATCATGTCTATCTGCGCTATTCCACTTTCCAGCTTTTTGTCCGTACCCTTGTAGTTTGAGAGATTTTGAGTACCGTTGTTGAAGGTAACAAAGGTTTCTGCCTCCACCATTTTCAGGTATTGAGTTTGAGGTACCCACCATTGCCTGAATGGAACATTTCTCCTTGTACCCTCTAAGCCAGCTACCAATTGCTTTAAATAGCTGCTTGTTTATTTGTCTATTTGCTTCTGAAAATAGAGCAGGGGGAAAATAACTTCCCAGGCCTCTCTCTCGATGCATTTTGGTTAAGTTATCTGCTGCCTTCTCTTCCAAGGATGGCTGTCTAACTTTGCCAGTCTTTCCTTTGGGTTTGATGACATCGTTGTAAATCTTCTCTATTCTTAAGCGTGATTGCTTTTTGTCTGAAAATACAGTGATGAGAACTGAGCACAGTACCCTAGGTACGTCCAAACTCGTGTTTTAGAAATTTACAGCACAACCTTCCGGCCTTTTATAATCTTTGCCTATGCTAATAAAGGAAAATATCCCATTTTATCTACTTGTCATACTGCCTTCAGGAACCTGTAGCCATGTACTGCAAAATCCTCCTGTTTCTTTACTGTTCTCGGTACCCTCCCATTTATTGTGTAATCTTTTGCCTTGTTTTCCCTTTGCACGTGCATGACCGCTCAGTTCTTCAGATTGGATTCCATTTATCACTTATTCACTGACTCAGCCAGTCCATTGATGCCTTCTTAGGGAATATAATGACTGTTCAATATGTATTTCCCATTTCCCGTTGTTGGAGAGCGGTACAACACTATTTTCTCTTTCAACTTCCAGCATCATGGTTTCCATATGGCAAATGAACTGGTCAGAGCAGCAATGTACTTGGATCAAGGTATCTGCTGTCTTTGGATATGGTGTGTAGCAAGAATGAAGTAGAACTTTAGAACTAGATTGTCCCACTGACATTACACTCCATCAACTGATACTTGTATTTGACAGTCATTGCAAGATCTGATCCAGTTTCTACAGTCCTCTGGTTAATTTACTGTCCATCTCCAGTTTCATTCTGCTTGTTCTCAAAATTGTCTCATTCACCCCTTCAGCCTGGTGAATCACTATTTGAGCTGTTATGCTCTATTTTGCTGTCCGCTGCCTAATAAAATGTCAGACTTGTTTCTGAATGTAGTGAGTGGTTTACATAAGTTATTTGTTGCACAAATGGTACAGTTTATATACTTGACCAATAAATTGAAACTTCCATGAGTAGCTAGGTCAAAAGTGATATCCACTTTATTCTTCAGTTAAAAGAAGTAATGTGACCTTTCATGTTGATTTCCAGTTTGAAAGTCAATAACCCCCTATCCTGGTACCAAAACCATCTTGTTTCACTATCAGTTTGAGGACAGACTAGGTTTAATTTTCAGTTTCTCGAATATTCTCTTACTTCAATGTTCCTCGTTAATCTGCTTCTAGTTTCCTGAGGGACCAACACTCCACCTCCAGCAAGATTGTGATCACATTTGACCGTGACCGGTCGGCTGTGGAAAGTATCACCTCAAAGCTTAATCTGTTCTTGCAAGAAATGAGCACACTTCAACAGACTTCAAGGAATGAAAATTTTGAGTTACTTCCTTAAAACCTAGAGGGTACAGGACCTGTTTACGACCTTTGTCCTGGCTGATGCCATCTAAGTCAGAACAAACTCAAGATTGAACCTAGGAATTCTAAATCTGTATGCAACAAAAATATACTATGTGGTTCAAATATCCATTGAATGTTTGCTAAACCAGCCTTATCGTGATTC